GGGCCCCCCGGGCCTGGGGAGCCGTCGCTGTCCCATCGCTGCCCTTCTGAAAGCCGTGTCTCGGCGGGGCTGTCACGCGGGCCCCCTCGTGCCCTCGCCCTTCACGCCGCAGCGGCCCCGCCTCGCTCTCCCGCCCCTCGGGCCAGTTACCTGCGAGGCATCTTGGGGCTGCTTTCTCCTGCTCGCGGCAAACCCCACTCGACCTGGGGCGTTCATGCGAGCGTAGCTCACGGGTGTCTTCATGAAAGCAGTCAGCGTGTGGTTTGGTTTTGTTGCCTGACCCCTTGCGCCCTCTGACCCCCGCACCCCCCCCCCCCCAGCAGCCTGTATTAGCGGCCGCTGGTTTTTACGCGTGTCCGACTCTGGAGCCACCGGCCACGTGAGCGTCCAGCATCGGCCTCTGTCCCCACCCACTTTGCTCACGCCGTCCCCTGGGCTCCTCCCTGGCTGTCAGCGCGGCCTCTGTCCTTCCTTTCGGCCGAGCCACGTCCCGCGGTGTGGACAGCCAGTCCCCGACCCCGTCCTCCAGCCGCACACGGAGACCCCGCGTCCCGGGCTGTGACCGCCGCGGTGGGCGTGGAGGTGGCTCCGGGCTGCGCGGAGCAGGTGCTGGCTCACAGGTGTTTCCGTTCCCCTCCTGGCGCCGGTCGGGCTCCAGTGCTGGAGGTTGGGGTGCATCTCCCACGCGCTTCGGGCCGGCGCCTGCAGTCGGACTTGGGGAGGGCCAGGTGGCTGGGGACGCGGGTGAGGCAGGGCCGAGCGCCCTCGGCGCAGGCCCCGCTACCTCCTGCCCTGGGCGCCTCACCCGCTGCTCTCCCGCAGCCGGGTGCTCATCTCCACCGACGTCTGGGCCCGGGGGCTGGACGTCCCTCAGGTGTCCCTCATCATCAACTACGACCTGCCCAACAACCGGGAGCTGTACATCCACAGGTAGGCGCCGCGCCCCTGCCCGCCGCGTCCCCCCACTGCGTCCTGGCCGCTCACCGACACCCTCCGCCCCCCAAGGATCGGGCGGTCAGGCCGCTACGGGCGCAAGGGCGTGGCCATCAACTTTGTGAAGAACGACGACATCCGCATCCTCCGGGACATCGAGCAGTACTACTCCACGCAGATCGACGAGATGCCCATGAACGGTGAGCCCACCGCCCGCCCCGCCCCCCGCCCCCGCCCCGGGCGCCCCGCCCGCTCCCTCAGCACCACCCTCCTCTCTCTGCAGTTGCCGACCTGATCTGACCCCGATCGGACCCTGCCGTGCCGGACGAGCCTCCCAGTGCCCCGGCCCGCCTCCTGTAAATAGTGCCCTGTGCTCGCTCTTTTCCATTAAACGCCGACTGTTTGCTAGGGCGCCTCCCGCTCTCCTGGGGCCCACCTGGGGGCCTCCTCTTGGGTGTGGCCACGCGCCAGCGCCTCGCCCCAGGCTGCGAACTGTGCAGCCTGAGCTGCAGATTGCGGGGAGCGCAGGGGGGTCTTTGAAGTGAGTCAGAGGATCCGGACTCGAGGCCCGTGAAGCCGTGGGTCTGCGCAAGGAACTTCCCGTCCAGCTGTCGCAGGGCCTTGTTCCTCGGGGGTGGCTGGTGGGCCGGCGGCCTGGGGTCGGGATGGGGCTGTGAAGGCCCCAGGTGATGGCAGAGCAGTCAGTCTGGGCGCCCTGGTGAGGCCGAGCTGCCGGGTGTGCGGACGGCAGGGACCGCCTGGGCCTCACGGGGCAGCGCTGGGCCTGGACCTGGAGGACAGTGGCTGTGGGCGTCCGCTCAGCAGCTGGGGCTTCTCTTGCTGGCAGAAAGGTTTTTTAGTTAGAGCTGAAGGGAAAACGAGGGAGGAAGCTGGTGTCAGGCGACGTCCGTCTACACCAGTAGCGAGCACAGGCCTGGTGCCCGCGGGAGGGGCAGCTTCCACGGCTGCGGGTTTGTCAGGTGCAGGGGCCGGACACGTGCCCCTTGAGGCAGAAGCTTCTACGCGGACAGACACTCCCCCCAGGCGGGTCCTCTCCGGCTGCCCTCGCAGAGGTGGCCCGGCCGGGGCTCCCCTGGACGGCCCTGGCACGCACAGCACCCTCAGGCCCCACGCCCTCCAGGGGGCTCTGCTGGCAGGGCCTTCGTTCCCGGTGCTTGGCGCAGCCGGCAGCCCCGGCGCGAGCAGAGGGTGGCCGGTGATGGATGCTGCTGTTTCTTGCTTTTCAAAACAATTCGCCTTTGGGCGTACGCTGTCGTAGGAGAAGCAACGCAGGGAGGTTTCAAGAGCGCAGAACCGCCTCTGCGCAGGCACAGCTCTCCCGTGTGCGGGCGCTGCCCCTGCCCCTGCCCCTGCCTTCCGCAGAGATTCAGCTGCCGCTGGCAGCGGTGGGCCCAGCCTGAGCAGGCGCTCGGTGCGCGGGAGCGGTACCCGCACAGCTCGGGCGCCTGGAGGCCTGGGGTCGGGGGGCGTCCTGCCACATCCTTACCTGCCCTGCAGCGGCCGCTGTGACGGGCGGGTGGATGCAGCCTGTCGCAGGCGCGCGAGCGCTCCGGGGGGGACACCGACTCGCTGGACGTGAACCCTAAAAAGCCAAATGCCTGTTACCAAAGCAAAGGCATCACAGGACCAGTGTGTGCCACGCGCATGAGCGGGGCACCCCCCGCCAGACAGGCCCGGCCGTGGGGGGACACACACACCCGAGAGCACCCAGGCCTGTTGCTGCGGCTCCCTCAGCAGGTGAGAGGAGGCACTGGGTCACCCGCCACCTGCCAGCCAGGCGCACCTCAGCCTGGCGAGCAGCATCTGGGGGCACCCAGCTCACAGCTGCTTAAGGTGGGTGGCGCCCCCCCCCCCAAGGTAGGGGTGAGGGATGGGGATGGCCACGGCCCCTCGGCCTTCAGCTTCGTCCCAGAGCAGCCGGCCAGGGAGGCCAGGACGGCGTCGGGGTGGAGATGCAGGGGCGGGCCTCGCGGAGACGTCCACGCGGCAGGTCGGGTCGGCGCGTGGTGAGGAGGGTGGCGGCCTCTGCCCCTTGACCAGCACCCCGCGGGAAGCTGACTCCGCCCGATTGCATGGCGAGCTGCGCGCAGGAGCCCACGTTTTGAGAAGAGCGATACCTGCTTCCCGAGAGCCCCGGGGCCGGGCGTGGGGGAGACATCCGGGTCCCTGCCCATCTGTGCGGTGTGGGTGGTGACGAGGGGGGCCGGGGCCCTGCCCGCGAGGTGGTTCAGGGGCTCCTGACCCAGCCACTGTACGCAGGAGCTGGGCAGGAAAGCCCGCGGCCTCGCTGAGCCCACGGTGTGCCCGCGTCGCCGCCCGCTGCCTGGGAAGAGACGCTGCGTCCAGAGGCCGCGGGCAGGAGCGGGCGCGCTGACCCGCTGAGGGGCGCCCAGACGGCAAAGCCTCGGCAGAGCAGCCGGGCGCCCGGGGGCTGGGGTGGGCGTGGGAGCGGCTGCCAATAGGCACGGGGTCTCTTGCGGGGAGAAGGTGCCCTGGGGTTAGCGCGATGGCACCGAGCACCACGGCGTGTAAAGGCGCATGTGGCGTGAGCTGAAGCCTCAGTGCCGGCGACGCAACACGGGTCTCTGACGTCACGCTTACAAAGGACACGGAGAGAGGACATGGCCGGGCCGCCTAAGCCGAGCGTGTCAGGCTGATCACGGGCACCGCAGGCGCTGACGGGGAGCGAAGGCCCTACTCGGGGACAGACGAGGACGCGCTGGCCGGGCCCCGGCTGCGTGAGCCACAGGTGAGGGCGTGCGGGCCGGTCAGTGGTTTGGCAGCGAGGGGGGTACTCCTGGGAAGAGGCTGGACTTTGGGGTCCCCCGGGATGCGCGCATCACAATCACCAGCATGACTGATACAAGCGCCCTGGCAAGGGGCCCCGCTGGGGGCGTGACCCTGTCCGGCACTCCCGGAGGCGCTCGCCCACCGCGGCGCTGCCCACAGCAGTGGGAACACGTCCGTCCAAAGAGCTGACCGCCATGGCGCCCGCGGCTCCTCACCGCACCTGACGCCCCAGACCTCCCGCTGCTGCTGAAGGTGGGTGAGCGGCGGCCACCCACAGGGGGAAGCCAGCGGCAGGAAGGCACGAGGGGGACGCAGCGGGGTGACCTCAAGGTGATTAAATTGGCCAGTGGGCACAAAGCACGCGCTGGGAGCGTCCAGCTGCACAACGTCCTAGAAGATGAACGTGGGCCTCTCGGCCAGGGACTGCCTGTCGGCCGCTGGGGCCGGGGCAGCGCCATCCACACGGCCCTGGGGGGGTGTCCCCCCCGCCATGGTCCTCTCACACCAGGCCCAGCTGGACACCAGTCACCACAGTCACGGGCTGTGAGATGACGCAGGGGTGAGGTGGGGTGAGGGGCTGTTTGATGGGCGGAGCTGTCAGGTGTGAGCTGCTGGGATCCGAGATGTGGGGGTGGGGGGAGCAGAGGGGATGTGGGGGCTCAGGTGATGGGGTACAAGGTGAGTTTTGCACCACTGAAGACATCAGGCCACGAGAGGCTTGGGGTGAGCGGCGCGCCGGGGGCGAGGGGCTGTTCGGAGTGCACAGCCTGGGGACGTCCAGACACAGGGTGGGGCGGCCACGTCCGCGGCTGGACGAGTCCTCCCTGCCCTGAACGCTGAAGGACCAGATGCTTCGTTGCAAATGCCCTTTTATTATTAAAACCATTGCACTTGGGATTAAGTGCCCCAGCTCCCGCCAACTCCCCTGAGATCAAGCCGCTCGTGGACGGGCCACACCTCGCCTGGCAGGCCCGGGCGGCGTTTGCAGCGGCTGCTGGCTCTGTCCCTCCCACGGGCCAGGGCAGCAGGGGCCTCGAGGTCGTGGCCTTGGTGCGGGCACCCTGTCCACGTGCGGCTCTAGTAGCAGCATGACCATCGCCACCCCCGACTGAGGCCGGTGGGGGCCGGCCCCGCTGTGGGGTCCGGGGGCCCCCTGGACCAGGAGGTAGACACGTCAGCAGATGTGGGTGTTGGGGGAGGTCGTGGCGCTGACCCTGAGCCCACAGGCCGAGCACAGGGCCCTGGGCCGCTGGTCAGGACCAGCTGAGGAGAAACCGCACACCCACGGTCAGCGAGACAGGGACGTCCAGGGTCTGGAGATGAGAAGAGTCAACCAGCGAAGCCCGGCCGGCAGGGGCAGGAGCCGGACGCAGTGGGGGTGGACGCTGGTGGGGGGCTGGGCGCGCTCAGCCCTGGGACACGGTGCTGTCCAGACGCGGCCCACGAGCCAACGTGGCGGAGGAAGTGGTGGGGGAGGGGGGCAGACTCCCCTGCTCCTGCCAGGCCCCGGGCAGTGTGCCCCCCCACGGCACCCCCAAGCCTCGCCCACCCGGGTCCAGCCCCGGGCCCTTGCCTTGTTCTCGGGGCTGTAGGTGAAGGACACGGGGACGCCGTCGGACAGAACCTGCCGGGGGCCGCGGCCACCCCCAGGACGGTCACCCTCCTCAGCTGCAGGCCCGCCCCCTCGCTGGCCACGTGCACCAGCTCGCTCCTGACGGTGTTCTGTCCACAGAGGGGCCGCGTGAGCGGCAGCGGCGCCGGGCAGGTCCACACCACACCCCTGCACCCCGGGGCGCCTGGAGAAGGCCAGGACACACCTCCTGGCCGCCGTACAGTCTCCCCAGCCCGGCAGGCCAGGACTGCCGTCTCTGCGCTTGCCCACCCCCCACCCCCGGCCCAGGACTCACGTTCCCGGCCAGGAAGACCACGTGCGTGTAGGCCCCTCGCTCCAGCACGTCCAGGCTCTCCCCGTCGTCCCAGAACAGCTCCCCGCGGGCCTCCCCGCTCGCGGTCAGGGCCACGACCAGGGCCATGGGCTGCCCGCGGGTCTCGGTGGTGGTAAGGCCGGGGCCCTGCAGGAGGGCGCGCGGGTCGTGTCCCAAGCCCGGCCTCCAGGTCCAGGACTGCTGGACAGCCCAGCTGCGAGAGGCCGGACGGCCCAGAGCCGAGCAGCCTGGATGCTGAGGTGGCCCCGGCCAGGGGGGCCAGTCCCTCCCGCTTCCAGGGCGGGCCCCGGCCACACACAGACCAGCTGCGCCCGAGGCTTCTGCATCCCTGCCTTGAAGGCCGCCCCAGGGTCCCCCACCCCCAGGGGTCTCTCCTCAGCCCTCCGTCCACACCCCACGCGGCGCTGGGCGGACCCCGCGGGACAGAGGGCCTGCGGGTGTTGGTAGCCGGAAAGATGACGCGGTGCCCCTCCCGCCGCGTCCAGACTGTCCTCCACCCGCAGGCACTGTCCGCTCTGCTGGGGAACCTGGGGGGCCCCAACTTAGTGATGGGCGTGGGCCCCAGTACCTGCACGGGGAGGAGGTGCCCGGCCCGCAGATGGAGGTTGATGGTGTCCAGGGGCGCCGGCAGCGTCACCCACTGCCCCTTGCTGCGGATGGCAGGCTCGCGGGGGGCGCGGGACGGAAGCGGGAGGCTGCCGAGGGCCTCCATGGGCACCTGGAGGGGGCGTCCTGTCACATGGGGGCCGCCGCCTCAGCACACGGACTTGGGGCTCGGAGCAGGGACCCGGCCACTGAGTGGGGACCCCAGGTCCAGGGCAGGGGCAGGACTTGGACGTGGAGCACAGAGACCCCACTCAGCTCTGCGGGGCCCTGGCCCGCCACCCCTCGGCCTCCCGTCCGGAACAGGGGCCGTCCAGGCCCTGGGCCCGCACCGGGGGGCGCCGGCTGCTTGCAGCCAGGACGTAGCAGACCTGATCCCGCTCCCCCAGGCCCACACACAGGCCGCCCCGCGGCCCCGCCCGGCACTCACCGTCTGCAGGTCGTACCACGTGCCGGCAGGGAAGTAGCCGGTCACCTCGGCCTGGCCGGCCTCCAGCACCGGGGTGATGAGCAGGGCCTCGCCCCACAGCAGCTGGCGGTCCACGGTCCAGGTGCGGGGGTCCTCAGGGAACCTGCGGGGGGCCCAGGTCAGCGGGCAGGGCCGAGGAGGCCCAGGAGGGGCAGACGCTGCTCCCTGGGGCTCCACTGAGCGGGCGGCACCGGGGCCAGCTGGCGCGCCGGACGGCACAGGGCCCAGGCCCGAGGCTGCTCCTGCCGCCCCACTGGGCACGAACACTGGTCCTGGGGGCGCTTCACACCCCAGGGAGACTGAGCCCTTCGGCCGGGCGTCCCCTTGAATCCTTCGCCGCTCCGGCCCGGACGCTGCCGCTTCCGCGTGTTTGTGGAAGGGCCGCCTTCTCCCCCCAGCCCAACCCGCCCTTGGCATCACGCTGCCCCGGGCCTGGCGGGCGCGGCACTGTCCCGTGGAACTTCCTAAGTGTCACTGGTGACACCGGACGCCGCTCTGGATCGTGTGTCTGCGCCGTGCAAGCGGCCAGCCGCCCGCTGGCTCGCCCTTCCCGGCGCCATTTTATCCAGGGAACCCCGAGGCGTCCTCGGCCCTGCGCCCTCCAGACCAGGCGAGTCTGACCACAGCAGAACAGCCCCCTCGGGGTCCCCCTCTGTGTGCTTCACCCGGGTCCTTCCGTACTCTGACTGCCCCATCCTGAGCTGGAAAGTAAGGGGTGGGAACCGGGGGTGCAGGGGCACCCCAGCACAGAGGGCCCAGGCCCTGACCCACTCAGCAGCGACATGCTCCCTGCTCAACTCCTGGCCGGGTGCCCTGCCCCTGTGGTGAGAGCCTCCCTCCCCTGGGTGCTCACTCCAGGAAGAGGGGCCGGGCCACGGTCTCCCCGGCGACGTGGGCGCGGTGGAACAGCGTGTAGAGGTGGGGCAGCAGGGCGTAGCGCAGCCCGAAGGCCCTCCTCATGGCAGCCTGCGCCGAATCGCTGAACCGGTACGGCTCCTGCGGCTGGGCCAGGAGAGGGATGGAGGGCTGGGCTCTGGGCCCCCACCCTGTGGGCCCAGCCGGAGAGCCAGCTTCCTGGCCGGCCAGCCTGTGCCTGGCGCATGGGCAGGAGACCACCAGGGAGGAGCCTTCCGGCCTGCCCGCCGCGCCCGAGGGCTGGTGAGGCCCTCCAGGCTGCCCGCCCCCTCCAGGCTGCCCGCCCCCCCCAGGCTGCCCGCCCCCCTCCAGGCGCCCGCCCCCTCAAGGCTGCCCGCCCTACCAGGCTGCTGAGGTCGTTGTGGTTCCGCATGAAGGGGTAGAAGGCCCCCAGCTGCGTCCAGCGCACGCACAGTTCTTCCGACGTGTTGCCCAGGAAACCGCAGATGTCGGCCCCCACCAGGGGCACCCCCAGCAGGTTGAAGAGCAAGACATCTGGGAGAGCGGAGGAAGACTAAGTCCCGGGCTGCCCAGCTGGACCCGCTTGTGGCCAAGGAGCCCACAGACCAGTCCGCTCCCCCTGGGAGGTGAACTGGGGTGGGGGGTGGGGGGCGGGCTGTGGGCCTGAGCCACGGTCTCCCCGGCGCGGGGCGAGGGCACGAGGAGAAGGGGTCTGCAGGCAGCGGCCATCGTCTCCTCGCAGAGACACCGGAGAGAACTGCGCGGACGACGGCCGCACCGGCGCTCCAGGCAAACCCCGCAGGCCGCGCCTCCCGCCCGGCTCTCACCTGGCACGGAGTCCGAGAGCTGCTCCCAGCTGCTCCACACATCCCCGGTCCAGTGGCCGCCGTAGCGGCCGTGGCCGGCGAAGGTCGAGCGAGAGATCACGAAGGGGCGAGTCCCCCGGGCCTTCACCAGGGCCCTGGAGGGGAGGCGCGGAGGGCCAGTCACCACGTGGCAGCACCTCCTCCTGCCCGGGGTGCAGCGGGGCTGGGCTGGGGCCACCACCTGGGCTGGGGGTCCTGTCTGGCCGCCTGACCGCCATGGTGTCACGGAGGGGAGCCCTTAGCCTCGGCCACCCCACTCCCTGTCTAGCCACCCCGGGGCCAGCATGGGTGCGGGCTGGAGTGCCTGGGCTTCGTCCCGCACCCTCGACGTCCCAAGCTGGCCCTCACCGGTGGGAGGCAAAGGCTTCTGTGAGGCCGTAGAGGTTGTGCAGGTTGTAGTGCGTGGAGAGGAACTGGCGGCTGGAGGCACAGATGGTGGCCGCCCGGAGGGTCCCGCCGACCACCCCTGGAGGAGAGAGCGGGGCCTCATGTTCAGGGTGCCACCTTGGAGGGCTGGTGTCCCCCCTCTGCCCCAGCCACCCTCTTCTCAGGAACAAGAGCTTGGAGCCCCCCAAACCAGAGAAGAAAAACCACCGATGGAGATACTAGACCCCCGCGGGTGGGCGGGCGGCGCACCGGGCACATAGGGTGGGCTCTCCAGGTCGTTGTCGGGGCAGCCGTCCACTGAGCCCTTCACGAAGTTGGACGGCTCGTTCATGTCCTGCAAGAGGGGCCCGTGGTGGGTGCCCAGCTGGGCAGGGTGGGGGGTGCCGCCCGTGGCCCAGGGGGCCCCCCACTCACAATCCACATGCCGTCGAAGGGCACCTGGGTGTGGAACTCGACCACCATGTCCTGCCACCAGTCCAGGGCCTCGGGGTTGGTGAAGTCAGGGAAGGCGCAGGGGCCCGGCCACACCTGGAAGAGAGGCCTGAGAGAGAGCCCCCCAGCCTGTACCAGGCCCCAAGAGTCCCAGCCTGGGGGGGTGGGTACAGCATTGGTGACAGGACCATGGGAAAAACTCCCCTCTGGTCCCACTTGCAGACTTAGGCCCGGGACCCTGGAATCTGCCCTCCAGGGGCGTCCCCTGAGCTGAGCACCTTGCACTGGTTCTGGGCAAGCCCCGGATCAGGAGGGCAGAAACTCGGTGGGGTGCCCACAGGGAGCCTGGGGCTCTCAGGAATCCCCAGGGGCCCCAAGCTCTGGTCAAGGGTGCAGAGCTGCCCAGGCCGGGCCCGCTGCCCAGGAGCCGGGGGCTCTGGCGGAAGCACCCGAGGAGGTGACTCGAGGCCCCGGCGGCCCGCCCCACCATCCCAGGGCACCAGCGCCTCACCCCACAGCGGCCCCGCCCGCGCTACCTTCCCGATGAGCGGCTGCCCCGTGGCGTTGGTGATGAAGACGCCCCTCCGCAGCCCCTCGTCGTAGGGCCTGTAGCTCCCCGGGGGGCCCGCGCTGCTGATGGCGGGGTCCTGCGGAGGACACTGTCGGGAGGCGCAGGCCGCGCGTGGGCAGCCCCGAGTCTCGCTTGTCCTTCGAGCTCCCCGGCCGTTCCGGGGTGTCTCTCCCCAGCGAGAGACAGAGAAGCCCGGCACCTGCCCTCGGGGCGGCCGTCGACTGCGGCTCTCCTCTGGGCCAGGCCGCCCCCCGAGGGCTGCTGCGATCGCGCTTCCCGGGGCGCCCACCCCTGCCCCCCGCGGCCCGGACACGCACCACGAGCACCACGTAGCGCCGGCCGCCGCGGTGCAGCGCGCGCACTAGGCCCGGGAGGTCGCCGAAGCCGCCCGCGCCGAAGGTGAAGTCGCGGCGCGCGTCCATGTAGTCCAGGTCGTTCCACTGCGCGTCCTGGAGGACGGACGCCCCGCGGTGACCGCCCTGCGGGCCCCGCCGCCCTGCGGGCACCCCCACCCTGCGGACACCCCCCACCCTGCGGGCACCCCCGCCCTGCGGGCACCACCGCCCTGCGGGCACCCACCACCCTGCGGGCACCACCGCCCTGAGGGCACCCACCACCCTGTGGGCCCCGCCGCCCTGCGGGCACCCCCACCCTGCGGACACCCACCACCCTGCGGGCACCCCCACCCTGCGGGCACCCACCACCCTGCGGGCACCCCCGCCCTGCGGGAACCCACCACCCTGCGGGCACCGCCGCCCTGCGGGCACCGCCACCCTGCGGGCACCCCCGCCCTGCGGGCACCCACCACCCTGCGGGCACCACCGCCCTGCGGGCACCCACCACCCTGCGGGCACCCCCGCCCTGCGGGCACCCACCACCCTGCGGGCACCACCGCCCTGCGGGCACCCCCGCCCCGCGGGCACCCACCGCCCCGCGGGCACCCACCGCCCCGCGGGCACCACCGCCCCGCGGGCACCCACCGCCCCGCGGGCACCCCCGCCCCGCGGGCACCCACCACCCTGCGGGCACCCCCGCCCTGCGGGCACCCCCGCCCTGCGGGCACCCACCACCCTGCGGGCACCACCGCCCTGCGGGCACCCACCACCCTGCGGGCACCCCCGCCCTGCGGGCACCCACCACCCTGCGGGCACCCCCGCCCTGCGGGCACCCCCGCCCCGCGGGCACCCACCGCCCCGCGGGCACCCACCGCCCCGCGGGCACCACCGCCCCGCGGGCACCCACCGCCCCGCGGGCACCCCCGCCCTGCGGGCACCCACCACCCTGCGGGCACCCCCGCCCTGCGGGCACCCCCGCCCTGCGGGCACCCCCGCCCCGCGGGCACCCCCGCCCCGCGGGCACCCACCACCCTGCGGGCACCCACCACCCTGCGGGCACCACCAACCTGCGGGCACCCCCCCCCTGCGGGCACCCACCACCCTGCGGGCCCCGCCGCCCGCGCCCGCCGCCCGCGCTCACCAGGGGGAAGGCGGCGCGGGTCATGTTGTCCGCGGCCTGGCGCGTGAGGGCGGCGGAGGAGTAGCCCCAGCGGCTCAGGTGGAAGCCCAGGCCCCAGTAAGGCGGCATGGACGGGCGGCCTGCGGCGGGCGGGGGGGCGGGGCGCGGTGGGCGGGGCCGGCCGGAGGCGGGGCGAGGGCAGGGCTTGCGGCGGGCGGGCCGGGACTGGGCGGGGCAGAAGGCGCGGCAAGGACGGGGGCGGGACAGGAGGCGGGGCGAGGGCAGGGCAGAAGGCGTGGCGGGACCGGGGGCGGGGCGAGGGCAGGGGCGGGGCGGAAGGCGCGGCCGGGACAGAGGGCGGGGCGGGGCGGGGCGGGGCGGGGCCAGGCCGGGGCGCGGCGGAGGGCTGGGGGCGGAGGTGCGGGGCAGGGCGGAGCGTACCCACGACGTCCAGGTACTGCCGCACCACACTCTTGGGCTCCGGGCCCAGGAAGACATACACGTCCAGGATCCCTCCTGTCGTCCGCCAGCTGAGGGCCGGGCTGGGCTGCAGGACCACATCTGGTGGGAGTGGCCAGGCTCAGGGACGGACACCCCATCCCAGGGACCGCCGGCGCCGGCGGGTCCTCCCTGATGGGGGTGGGGGCGCAGTGACCCTGAGCTGAGAGGCTGGGGCCCTGGAGCAGGATGGGGAGAGCAGCTGGACCCCGGAAGCCCCCCATCTGGCCTCTCTCGCCGAGTGGGGGTCCTGGAGATGCTGCTTGAGATGCCCCGGCACAGCTGGCAGAGGAAGAAGCCACTGGGCTTATCCTCGGGGTAGCGATCTAGGGACACCTTCAGCCTGTGGGGGCAGCTCAAGAGCCCCACACTCTGCCCATGAAGGATGGGGCTGGGGCTGTACCCAGAGGAGCCCCGGGCGGGGCCTGCGGCTGCTGCTCACCCATGGCGTTGCTGTTGAGCAGGAAGACCCCGTGCGCCGACCCGCCGTCCTCCAGCGCCAGGTAGAAAGGGTGAGAGCCGTACAGGTTCGCGTCGTGCTGGGACCCGGGACAGGCTGGTAGGGCACTCTCGCTCCCCTGCGCCGTCCCCCACTCCTTCCCCCCAAGCCCCCACCCTCCGTACCGCAGGGGCCATGTCCCGGTTCCAGAGGGTGACCCTGGTCCAGTCGGTGCTGAGCATCAGGGACCCCAGGCGCTCCGCGAGGCCGGTGATGTGCCGGGTGGGCAGGGAGGTGGACAGCTGCAGGAACTGGTCGGCGAAGAACAGGGGGGCCACCGTGGTGTTCAGCCTGAGGGGCACAGACCAGGCCTCACACCTGGGGCAGCTGATGCCCGAGGTGGACCCTCCCAGAGCCCGCGAGTCAGGGCCTGGTGCCCTCTAAGGAGGGTGGGAGGGGCCTGGCCAGCTCCGGGACGTACTGACCTGGACAGAAGCAGCCAGCCAGGTCCCCCCGCGCGGGCATGGGGAGCATGGAGCATATTTGGAGGAGGGGCTGGCGGCACCCACATTGGCCATGGTGGGCAGGGGACCGGAGTGCCCCACCAGCCCTGCCTGAGAGCTGGGGCCGGGCAAGGCCGCCCGAGAAGGCCTAGGAGTCGAGGCCCCTGCCCCCCACCTCCCCGGCAGGCCCAAGCTGCCCAGCCCAGAGCCACGGCATGCCCGAGGTCACACGGGGTCAAGGGCAAGGCTAACACCACAGGGCCAGCCTCGTCGGAGCACACCCACTGCAAGTGCTGGCCGCCGGGCAGGCTCCTGCTGTTCAGCAGAGAGCACCGCCCTGGCTCGGCTCTCCGCCGAAGGGCCACTCCTGAGGCCTCTTCTAGCCCTGCCCTCCACAGCTACCGCCTGTTTCTAGAACCTTCTAGCCACACGGCTCCCAACACTGCTTTTACGGACTGGCTCATGCCTGGCTGCTAGCCCAGAGCAGGGGGTAACCCGGCCCACACGTGAGGGGGTACACTGCCTTCCAGACGGTGCCTTCTCTGCGGATGGGGGCGGCTTCGAGCGGCCCTGCTCCCGAGCGTGAGGCTGAGCTCCGGGGTGGAGCGGGGCTGGCCAGCTCCGAGCGATGCGCACAGGGAACCACGTGTCACGACACGCGGCCCCCGCAGAGACCTCACGCGCGGCGGGCAGAGCTGCTGTGCGGCGGGCGGGGCCCTCCGATGGCCGGGCGGGGAGGGGGCGCCGCGGCCATTCAGCCAGGAGGGGGCCGTGGGGGACACTCGAGGTGCAGCCACACGCTGGGGACCCAGGTTGGAGGGCCAGGCTGCCCGGGCGCCTCGGAGCTGCTCCCGCTCCTGCAGGGTCAGGCGCTCTGGGCAGGGAGGCGGGCGGGGGAGAGGCTCCTGCCCCGCGGGGGCGCAGCAGAGAACCAAGCAGCCTGGCGCTGAGGAGGGCCCCGGCACGGCGCTGCCAGCATGGCTTGGCGGGGCCCCCGCCCTTCCCTGTAAAGTGGGGCAGTCACAGACCCACCCCCGGCTGCCCCCGGAGCGACACGCAGCAAGAGCGCGTTGGAAGGACAAATAAATAGGACGACACTGCCTGGTTTTCAGCAGGCGCCGCTGGCCTTTGGGCTGGCTCACTGTGATGTGGGGCGTCCAGCACCCCCCCCCCCGGTGCTGAGCAGTCGCGGGACGCCGGCAGCCCCTGCCCACTGTGGCAACCGCGTCTCCAGCTGCTGTGGCGTGTCCCCGGGGCAGCCACCCCCGCTGGGCCCCGCCGGGCGGCCGGGCCCTCCCAGGGCCGAGGGGAAGCCGCCAGGGGACACTCACAACACCCGACCGTCCAGCCTCCGGCGCACGACCAGCCCGAAGGGCTCCCGCGAGAACTCCACGCTGTAGAGCGGGGCCCGGGCCCGGCGGCGGGCGCGCGGGGTCCGCAGCGGCACCTCGTAGCGCCTGTTGGCGGGGTCTTTGATCTAGGAGGAGCGCGGAGGCCGTCAGGCTGCGCAGGGGCCGGGCAGCCCTCCCCCACCTGCTGTGGCCCGGAGAACCCCTCCGGGGGCCGGGGCTCGACCAAGCTTCGGATAAACGCTTCCCAGCGAGCGCCCACCCCGCGCGGCTCGCGCCGCCTAGCCACCAGCTCCTCCGGGTTCTCCGGGACCCAAACGGACTGCGCCCTGCGTTTGTATTTGCTGGCGCTGGCGAGGCTCTGCCCCCAGGACCCCCGTCATGGCGTGAGGTGGCAAGGGGCACCCGGCTCCGTGGGGCACGCAGCAGTCCGGGGGGGCCAGACGACCCGGCCCGTGTGTGCTGGGAAGCCCAGAGGCCAGGGGCTGGGAGACCGCTGGGCTGACTGAGGCCTTGCCCTGGAGTGGGGGACCCCACACCGGGCAGGCGAGCCCGGCCGCCCTCTGCCCCTCTTCCCTGCAGGTACCCGCAGGACTCCGGCCCCCGTGGGTGAGGCTGACCGCCCTGCTCCCGAGCCCGCCGCGGCACGCTCCAGGACCTCTGGCCACCGTCTCTGCCCTACCACTCCCGGGGCGCAGGCACTGCACAGGCCCACGCTGGCCTCCCAGGGAGACGGGGACCCTGGCCGCCCCAAGCACAGTCCCCCCACCCCCCTCCGGCCCGGCCCACGCGCCCCGCCCACCGTGACGCGCAGCCGGCTCTCCGTCTCCATCAGCACGTCCAGCCGCAAGGTCAGGACATCCTTGGGGAAGAAGGTGGGGGTGGCGCGGGTCAGCGTGGCCGTGTAGCCCGTGTCTGTGCTGCTCAGGTTCCCCAGCACGTAGCTCGGGTAGCTGGGGGGGAAGAAGCACCAGGGCTGCCCCATCCTGGGGGCCTGGCGCTGCCCAGCAGGCGCGTAGCAGCAGCCCCGGGCCTCGCACTGCTCCCGGGTGATGCCCTTATCAGGGGCACAGTCGAAGCGGCTGTTGGGGGGCACGTCGCACTGCGTGGGTGTGGTGCCGGGGTGGCCATGGTCCTCTGGGGCAGGCAGGCGCCCAGGGCGGTTCTCCCCCGAGACCCGGGAGAAGCCACGCCACTCCCGGGGGGCCGCCTCGGTGTGCTGGAGCAGGGTGCACCCCAGGAAGGCGGCCGTGGCAAAGGACAGAAGGGCGCAGACCACCAGCAGTGGGCCGGAGCAGGGGGGCTTCCGGGCGCCCATGACGGGGTGCGGCTGCGGGTCCTGGAGGCCTGCAGAGAGGAGAGCAGGACTCAGCCGGGGCGGCGGGAGGCAGGGGGCGTCCTCCAGCTTGCTGGCCCGGTGCACCCAGGGCGAGGCCCCCGGGCACCGAGGAGGGGCGCACAGTCGGCCTCCTGGGGGCGGTCACGGTAACCTCCGCGGTCTGCACCCCGCGCACCCCAGCAAGCCCTCTGCACGGCTCTTCGCCTGGCCTGAAGCCGGCGTCCCCTGCGCAGGCCCACCCGGGCTTCTTCTCAGCAGCGAGTTATTCCACAACGGAACGACCGTCTACTCGGGGAGCAAACAGCGGCCCCTGCGGGCACCCTGGTCCTACAGCGGGCACGTCACCGAGGGGGCCGGGTGTGCTTGAGCGAATCCGCCCTGCCCCGCCCCGCTTCTCTGGCCCAGCGAGCTGTGCATTTGGCACCAGAGCACCCACTTTCCCGCCGCCCCTCACACCGCAGGCGTCTCCCGCGGCTCTCACACCTAGGCCGGGAGACGGGCTGCCGGCGCAGATGGGGGCAGAGAAGGAGCAAGGACAGAGCGCCCTGGACGTGGGGCACACAGGGCCACTGTGACTCCTCAAAAAGCCACAGAGGAATCCAGCGTCGAGGCGCCAACAATGAGCAACGGCGCCCAGGGCCGGGCGCTCCACGGGCGGCGGAGCAGGCACAGTCCCAGAGCCCGAGCACGGAGTGGCCGGTGGGTGGTGGCGCCCACGGGGCCTGTCGCTGTCCCTCTGTGCCTTCCCGCCTGCCGGACACAGGCACACCAACGCCTGGGGTGCACGCGGGGCACAGGAGGCCTGCCCCGGCCTGCCGCTGCGGGCACCTCTGCCAACGGTCAGGGGCTGGGGGACGCTCGGTCACTGACACGGCCACCAGGCCAAGAGCCTGCTGCCGGAGGCACGTGGGTGCGTTGGCCGGATTCCCCGGGGCGAGATTACTGAAGCCTGGCATGCTCTTCTTTCAGCCCAGCTACTTGCTCTAAGCACTCTGCCAGGAACAGCAGCGGCCTGGTCTCTCCAAGGAGCCGCGCACGCCGACCGGGCGGAGAGGAAGGTCCCCAGGGTGCGGGGCTGCCCTGCAGGCTAAGGAGGCGGCAGTGAGGCAGGGCTGAAGCCCTGGAGCCAAAGCTGGTCCCTGGAGGCTGGGGCTCCCGGGGGGCTCCCTGGCTGCCCCCCACCTGTCAGCCGTCCCCACTCCAGGCACAGCTGAGCGTGCCGGCCCTGTCCCGCTCCTCTGACCCACGGGCTATCAGTTCCGGGGCTCACCCCAGCCCCTCGGGTCAGTCACTGGCCGGAACAGCAACAGAGCCAGGAAAGTGTCCTCCTGCGATGTGTCCACTGGAAAGGACCCTCTGGGGGCAGCGGGGCGGGGGGGGGGCTTCCTTGCCCTCGGGGATGCCCCCAGCACCAGGACGCTCACCAGGCAGCAGCTCTCTGCAGGGCCTCCTCCGGGGCGGGGGACACTGGGTCCTGCCCTGCCTTCAGGCACCCGCATGCGTCTCCCGCCACAACTCCCAGGCCCGGAGTCACGACTCGGGCGGTGCTCAGTGCTCTCCTCACATGAACATGCTGGCGTGGGGGGCCCTCGCAGGCCGCCAGGATGGGCTCCCCACTGACTGTCCAGCAGACCACCCAACCACCAGGAGGCCCTCTGGCCTCCACACTGTCCAGGGTGCAGTTCTTTGGGGGCTGCCCCCTCCCTCAGCTCTCTGGGGCACCTACCGGGCAGAGAGACTTTCTCATCACCCCAAATCTGGAGGGGGCCTGAGCTGCGCCAGGCGCGGGGACAAAGGTCAGACACTTGTCTGTCCACACCAGCGAGCCCCGCCTGCCGGGTGGACGCGCCTGCCCGCTGACTCAGGAGCCGGGGCCTGGGGGCAGGCCAGGCGGGCTCGTGGGAGTGCGGCCCAGGGGCACCCCCGGGGGTCCCCGCTCAGGCAGGGGCGGTCCGCAGAGAGGGCCTGGGGGGGCGGGGCGGGGGTGTCCTGGGGGGTCGCGCTGGCCTTCAGGAAGCGGCCCGGAGCCGGGGTCGCAGGCGGTCGCGGCCACGGCGGGGAAGCCCCGCGCTAACCTGCGGGCGCCTCGCTCTCGCCTGTAAACTGGGGGGCAGCGCCCTGCGGCGCGTCGGGGCCCTGAAGTCACGGGTCACCGCCTTCACCGCCGCCTCCCGGCCGGGCCCGGGCCCGCCGCCCTCCCGGAGGCCAGCCGCGGGGGACCCCGGCGCCTCCGCAGCGCCCGAGCCGGGGCGCCCCGCACCCCGGCCGCGGCCCCCAGGGCTCACCTCGCGCGCCTCAGCTCCGCGCGCGTCCCCGCCGGCGGCCGCGGGGTCGAGCTCGGGCGCGCGCGGGGCGGGGCCGCGGCGGGTCACCTGACAGCGCGTCTGCGCAGGCGCCGGGGCGAGGGCGCCTTCCTGCGGCGGGCGCCCCCTGGCGGGGGCTCGGCCGGGCGCGCGGGGGGGCGGGGCCTGGCCCCGGGGCCGAGGAGCACGGGCGGGGGGGGTGGGGGGGGTGGGGGGGGTCTGGCCCGGGGCGCGCGGGGGCGGGGGGGGGCCTGGCCCCGGGGCCGGAGCGCGCGGGGGGTGGGTGGGGGGTTCTGGCCCCGGGGCCGGGGCGCGTCCTCGCTGGGGCCGGCGCGCCGGGGCCCCTCACCGGCCGCCCTGGATGCGCGGCGACCTCGCGGCCCTCGAGCCCGGCGCCCCCGGGCTGCGGAGTCGCTGGGAGGGGCGCGGGGCACGAGCCGCCCCAGGGGTGCCGCGGCCGCCTCCCCCTCGGGCCGGGCCTTGGTCCAGCCCCGCCTGCCCGCCCGAGGGCAAGATCTGGAGGGAGGTTAAGCTCCCCGTGCAGGACACTGTCCCCCCAACCCCCGGGGCGCGGGAGGGGCCTTTGCTGACTCCCCGCCTGAAAGCAGCTGCACAGGGAGCAGCCCCCACGCGGGGCCTGGGGACCCAGAGCCCCTCCTCGCGGGGGCCGGTTCTGAAGTGTCCGAGTAAGCTGGCCCTTCTCGCACTCAGAGGAGCCTCTTTATTTTTCTGCTGAAGTGTGAGTGGGGGGTTCTTTATTAGGCCTTTTTCCTTTTAAGCTGCAGAGAAGCCTGGGGTGACTGGGGGGCCAGGAGTCAGCGGCGGGTCCTGGGGACACTCGCCCCACCCGCTCCAGCGAGCCGGGCAGCGACGGGTGGAGAGGCAGAAGCGCGCGGCTCTCCTGGGGAGGGTGGGGACCCCGTGGGGGCTCAGGGGGCTGTGGGTGACTTTAGGGGGTGCCTGGCCAAGCCCACCCATGCCTCTGCTTCCAGCGGGCCGTGTTCTCTGTACTCACCCCAGGTGGGAATCGGCACCTGCGCTGGTTGGGGGAGACCTGGAGCCCCACCCCCACCTGGAGACATGGCACCTCCCCAGGCCCGGTCACTTGGCCGTGAGCCAGTGCTCGACCCACGGCATTTGCAGGTGGTGGACGCCGCGGAAGGCAGCCCGGAGCGCTGGCATCTGCCCAGGTCTGCCTGGGTGGAGACGGCCCCCCCGCAGTGTGACCCGGGTCTTTCTCCTCAGGGGGATGTCCTCTGGGGGCAGACATGGCCTTCAGGGACACAGGGGGCGGCTGGGGTGCAGGCTGCCTGCTAGGAGGGCCCGGGCGCCTCCAGCTTGCTGGCGACGGCCTGGCTGACCCTGAGCAGGGCCTCCTGGAACTGGGGGTACTCCTCTTTCACATGGTCCAGGATGGTGCCCAGCGCGGCCAGCCGGTCGTCCAGGCGCTTCTGCTCCACCTTCAGCGCCTGCTTGGAGCGGAAGAGAAGCGTGTAGCGCCCTTCCTTCACGGCCTGGAGGTGCTTCAGGCGCGTCTGCAGGGCCACCAGCTCCAACAGGTTCTTGGGTGACAAGAGGCTCATGTCAGCCAGCGCAGACCACGTGAGGACACTGACCGTCTCCCGCCCAGACCCGAGGGCTAGCAGGGATCGGGCTGCAGTGAGGAGGCCGGGTCACCAGGTCCAGGCGGACACGTGCTGGGGTGGGGCTTCTCCTTCACCCCTAAGAGACCTGGGGCTGCCGGGGCCAGGCCTAGTGCCGGCGCCTTCCCTTAGCTACCTCCACCGGCTCACGCCACCCCTGCTGGCACCATGGCCAGTCTAGCTGGCACCATGGCCGGTCTCGGGGGACCCTGAGGCCACGGAGCCAGGGCGATACCCCTGCTCAGCCCGACGGGACCCTCCCTGGCTCCGCTGCTGCCTCCACTGCTGCCCAGCCCACTGCTGGCCAACTCCCCCCTCCAGCCCGACCGGCCGCCCACCCTGTGCCTCCTCGGCCGTCTCCCCAGGCGCCGTCTCCACGCCTGCATCCCTTATATCATCTGTCTCCCCACAAAGGCGGCCCTGAGGGCAGAGGCCCAGGCCCAGCCCTGCCAGGAAGGGCGTGCCTGGCCCCCCGGATGGGGCAGGGGGCCAGGCCTGCCCACCTGCCGCTTGAGGGCCACGAGCTGCTTCACGCTGGTGTCCAGCTCGTCCGTGTCGGCCTGCATCTTGGACAGCGCCTCCTGCTTCTCCACGAGGGCGTCGCTCACGAGCTTCTGTGTTTCTTCCAGCTCAGAGATGGTCCTGGAGCACTCCTCGGTGGCCTGGGGGACAGAGTACCACCCTGCGGCGCGGCTCCTGGCTGGCGAGGGCGCGCGGCCTAGGTGGACGGCGGCCCGCGTCTGGGGAACCGGGTGCTGAGGCCCAGCGGCCAGCAGGTGTGGGGGGCCAGGCTGAGACACCTGCCGCAGGCGGGTGTGGGGGCAGGGCTGGGTAGCTCGTCCAGGGGCGTGGGGACCCCGGGGGCAGAGCGTGGGCTGGGGTGGTGGGGGGGAGGGACAGGCAGTAGTCACGGGGGGACACGGGCTCCGGAGGGTCTGCGGAGACGGACGACGAGGCTGGACCTCACCACCGTGGGGTGGGAGTGGCTCTCAGGGCAGCAGAGCCATCGAGAAAGAGAAAACTCTGGAAGCACTGGCGGCTGGAGGGTCTGGGGGGTGACTCCAACGGGAGGAGCGCCGAGAGCGACTGTCAGGGACGTGGCCGGTGTGCGGGGCTGGCGGGTGGGGGCGGGTTTGTGCACAGGGACCTGGGCTGCGGGGTGCGCAGGGCAGAGGACACAGGCACCACTGTCCTGTTATTGGGAGTGGGGGTGCTGGGGAGACCCTCTGTCAGGAAGAGCAGACATTGGGGCCGGGGAGAGGAGTGGACCTCAGGAGTGGCCGCGTCCTGAGGAGGCTGGAAACAGGACCCAACAGGGCTGCTCTGCAGCTCGGCCGCCCCCAGCAACCACTTGGGTCCATGCTTAGCCAGGAGGAACCCGGGGGGCCATTCCTGCCACTGTGCTGAGCTCACCCCCATGACTCCTCTGGGCGAGTGCCCATCGCAGGTTGGGAAGTTGAGGCACACAGGTCTGGCCATGTGCCCAAGCCATGCCCGCGTGGAGCTGACCAAGGCTGGGTTCTGTCCACCCTGGAGGGGCCACGGCACAGAGGCCCACCTGGCCTCGAGGCCGCCATGCCTGGACAGGCTGCCAAGGCCACACGTGGGCCCGGGAAGCCCGAGCCCCGGCCTGGCCATTCCCAGGGCTTCTCCCACGCCACGTGCTCCATGGCCTGGAGCACTCCTGGGGGTGCCCCCAGCACCATTCAGGGCCAGTGACGAGGGGCTTACACCCGTCATCCACACTCCACGCTTGGTCTGCCTCTGCAGTCCCCTCACACTTGACCCCCCCATGCCGCACTCCCCTGTGCGGTCTCTGGAGAACCCAGGACACAGAGGAAAGGCCCAGAACACAGAGCTCCTGGCAGCACCTCCCGACCCCAAGGGCACCCACAGCCCGCGTGGCACCCAAAGCAGCATATGGGCACCCATCTAGGGCCCAGGGGATGAGAAAGCCGGCTTTCTGGGTCAAGGCAGGGCTCCCCCATGGCGTCATCCACCCCCAGGGGCACTCCCCCAGCATCACCCCCTCACCCCCCAGGATCACCCCTCACCCGTGTCACCCCCTCCCATGTCCCCCTCCCCCCAATATTACCCCTCCCCCAGCATCCACCCCTCCCCCTCCAGAGTCACCCCTCTGACAAAGCAGCTGCACCCCCCAGGACACGGGCAGGACAGGGGGACACCTACGGGGCAGGAGGTGGGGGATGCTCTGGCCGTGTGCACAGGATGGAGGGGGAAGCCGGCAGTGCCCGCGCCCCACCTTGTGTGTGTCCCGGATCCTGCGCCGCAGCTCCGCCTGCCTGTGGTGGAAGTCCGTCCGTGTGAGCAGCCTCCGGTCCCCCCTGCGCTGGCCCTCGGCCTGCGTGGAGATGGTCTCCCTGCGCGCCACCGCCAGCTCCATGTCGTGGATCAGCTTCTCCTGCTGCTGCAGCAGCTGCTTGTGCCTGGCCTGGGGGTGCAGGGCAGAGGCTGGTGGGGCCGTGCGACGGATGTGGGCCCACACCTCGCCCCAATGGCGCTGAGCAGCCAGGACTCTGGGCCTCGGCTGGGCTGGAGATGGTCGGTTCCAGAGGACGTGCACTCGCATCGGGCTGAGCCGGGCAGGGGAGGAAGCCCACTGTGTGGGGTGAGCCGCTGGGTGGGGCCCGGTGGCCATGCAAGGTGGCCACGCAGGGGGCAGGGCCGTGGGGGTGGGGTGGGGGCAGCGCAGCGGGAGACGGACCACAAGGGGCAGGAGGGAACTTTCTGGAAGGCCAAGCGTGAGGGGTGTGACGGGGGCGGGTGTGGCGTCAAGGGCCAGCGGTGTTTTACACTAATCTGAGTCAGGGCCCCTCGGCCTCATGCCGCCCGCCACCATCAACAGGCGGGAACCTGCGAGGTAAGCCGAGGGGAGCGGAGACGGCCGCCCGGGGTCAGAGCCGACCACAGAGTGACCGCGGCCGCCGCGGCGTGAGGCTGGCGCTCGGGCTGCAGGCGGACAGCCCCAGCGAGAGGAGCAGGCTGGGGGCCGGGGCAGCCGGGAGGAAGCGGAGATGGAAGCCGACGCCACAGCCGGCCCAGGCAGATGCCAGGTGGACCCGAGATGAAATAGCGCCGCGGTGGAGACAAGACCTTGGGGTGCACTGGTGTGGCCTCAGCAGGGGCGCGGGGCCCCCTGAGCTTCCCAGCAGGCAGAGTCATAAGACGGCGTTGAATACGAGGCTGGACGCCCAGGCCGCTGCGTGGGGAACGCGCCGCCATCGAGAATGTACGGGGAGCGGTCGGGTGATGCCGCCGACAGGCCTTGAAGGCGGAGCCGGTCACCCCAGTGTGGAAAGACCCCCAGAAGGTGTTAGGGAATACGGAACTGGCCCGCGAAGAAATCGAGGCAACACAAAGGCGAAGATGCTCACGCACGCGGGCCCATGGGGCATGCGGGGGGACACGGGAGATGGGGGGAGGTGGGGGCATGCGGGGCCCGCGCCAAGGTGCCCGGAAGCCGGCGCCAGGCCCGCCCAGATGCTGCAAACACCCACGCAGCCGTGTTTAGCAAAATCGCAGAAACAAGGCGACTCGCAGTCAGCGGCGTCTGGGTGGCAACAGCGCCCTCGCCAGCCCCGGGGAGGCCGGCCGGCGGGGAGCCAGAGAGACGGGCCCGGTCGGCCTTGGCACACTCGGAAAGCGGCGCCGAAGGACAGACAGGGCCGCCAGACTCACCCCAACCCTCAGGCAAGCCAGACTGGACAGGCCCCCTGTGCTTCCGCCCTTCACGGGACGCTCTGGAAAAGCCTGAGCTGGGGGTCTGGCGTGACAGGTGACCAGAGCCTGGGGCGGGAGGGCGGGCCGCAGGCACCGGGAGTCTGAGGAGGTGCAGTCACCCCTGCAGGTCTGTGTGGGCGAAGGGGCGGCTGGACTGGACACTCAGCCCCGAGCGGAGGCTGGGGGCGTGCGGCGTCCTGGGGCAGTGCCGCGGAGCTGCGGTCCCCGGCCGGCGCCGCTCCCGGGCCCAGCCTGGGCGCAGAACAGAGCTGCTAAGGGAGGGGCGGCCCTGGGCCCGCAGAGCGCGGCCGCCCACCATGAGCAGGAACCCCCGGCCTGCGGGTCGTGGCACAGCCCGCGGAGGGCCCCGCGGCTTGGGGAGGACGGCCAGGCGCTGCCGGCCGTGGGGGGCCCGTGGGGGCGGGGGCTTGGGAAGCCAGCCGCGGAGAACTCCACAGACGCGTCTGTGCAGCTGCGCCTGGCCCCGGCCTCCGCAGGCGGGTTTATTTATACCGGCCGCTCTCGTGGGTGGCTGACGGGGCTGCAGGGCAGCGTGTGGCCTCGCGCCAGCCCTCAGACAAGTGATGAGACCCACGGGGGTGGCTCAGGGGTCAAGCGGGGGGGCTCTGAGAGAGGGTACCCCTCGCTAATGGGGTGCCCCCTGCCCTCCCCACCCCCCACCTTCATGCGGTGGATCTCGGCCCTCATGGCCCGGATCTCCATCTGGCCGGTCTCCGAGTCCACCGAGGCGCGCATCTCCTTGGCCAGTTGGATTTTTTTCTCCCAGATCATGATCTGGTGTCTGCCGGGGAGAGGGGGCGGCGTGAGGGCGGGGTACAGTGGGGCCAGGCCTGTGTCTGTGGGGGGAGGGACCCCTCCGGGACGCCGCGGCCACCGTCCCCAGGCTGGTGACCGGCTCGCAGTTACGCGGAAATAAATATCCCCCTCCTGGGCCCAGGGGGAGCTTGGCCCCACGGCCCCCATCCTCCATCTTTCCTCCAGCGCCTGCCGACCCTGCTGGCCCAGGACAAGGGGTCCCGCCCGGGTCTCCAAGGTCGCCCGGGCCATGGGGTCCTGTGGGGAAGCGCAGCCGGGGGGCGGGGGGCAGGCGGGAGCCCCCCTCCCACTCTGCACACGTTTTAGCCGAGAACGCTGAGAGCTGGTGTGGGTCCCTCCCTCGCCGTGTAGCTGAGTTCACCCCAAAGTCTGCGCCCCACTTCCAGTGCCGGCTTGGTGAGGGGCCGCCCGAGGACGGGCCCGCAGGGCACTCACTCCGCCTCCACCAGGCTGTTGAGGATGGCGGCCTTCTCCTCGTCCAGCTGGCTCAGCTTCTCCTGCATCTCCAGTGTCTCCCTCTCGGAGGCCTGCGGGAGGGGTGGAGAGCGGCGCTGGACGCCTGCCCGGGGACAAGCGCCCCCTGCGCCCCGCCCCGCGCCGCCCCCTCCCCCAGCCCCCGCTCCCCGCGCCGGGCCCACCTTGAGTGCGCGCAGGAGCTCGCCCTCGGCCAGGCGGGCGCCCTGCTGCAGCTGCTGCGCGCTGCTCCGCTGCCGGCTCATCAGCACGTTCAGCTTCTTGAGGTCGCCGTCCAGGCCCCGCGCGTGCCGCTCGATCTCCTTGTGCTCCCGCTTCTCCAGCTCGATCTTGCCTGGGCCCGGAAGCACCGTGGTCGGGCCCCTGTGCGGGCGGCCTGCCCAGAGGGCCACAGGGCCCGGCTGAAGGCCCGCTACCCCCGCCCCCGCTGTCCCGGGCACCCCCGCGAGCCCCAGCCCTGCTGGACCGGAGGAGAGGAGGGCCCTTCCCCGTCGGGGGCCTCAAGGGGCTTCCTGGACCAGCAGGGTGGGGTGGCCGGGACTGCGGAGGTGAGCCCGTCCTGCGGGGCGGGCAGCTCGGCCCCCTCCGTGCTGACCCAGCTCAGGGCAGGAGGCAGGCCACAGACCTGAGGGCGGGAAGGAGGGCGGGATGTCTGGGGGGCTGGTGTCCAGGCTGAGCAGGCCCTGGCGGGGGGAGGCCGAGGCGCACCAGGACGCCTGGGGGGCGGGGCCGGCTGGGGCCTGGGGACTCACTCTCGATGCGCAGCTTCTTCTGCTCCAGGATGTGCAGCTCCTTCCGGAACATGAGCAGCGAGCTCAGCTGCTCCTCCCGCTCCTGCGTGGCGGCCACCATGTCCTGCTGCAGCCGCAGCCACATCACCTGGGCCTGGACCACGCTGCCTTCATGCTCTTCAATCAGCTTCGTCAGCCTCTTGATTTCCAGCTCCAGGGGCCCCACCTCTTCCCCCTGGAGGCCACAGCGGGCACCGAGCTAGAGGAGCCTTCCTCCCCATCATGGAGGCGCCCGGGACCATGGGCATTTATGGGGGTGCGGCTGGGGACCCCCCCTGGGAGTGGCGGCAGTGGCCCTGCCTCCCTCTGGGTGGGCCGCCACTGCCCAGTGGGTGCAGGCAGGGCCTCGGTCCCCACTGCTGCCTGTGACCGCAGCCACGAGAAGGCCTCTGCCCCCTCAGGAGCCAGCGGCTCAGGCCTCCGGGGTTGGCACCTGGCTGAGGGCGCCCCTACCTACTCCAGGGCTGGGGCTGTGGTGCAACCTACAGCTACCGGGTTCCCTGGAGGACTTCACGCCTTGGGGTCAAGGGCCCCTCTGTGCGGAGCAGTGGCGAGTGGGTCCTACCTGTGTCTGCATGGCCCGCGGCCAGGGGAACATGGGGGGGCCCACAGGGTGCAGACGCCCCGGGGTCAGACTCCAGGGTCCCTAAGACCACATTACTGGACACTTGCGTGGGGAGAGGTGGACACAGACACTGCGGCCCTCAGTGCAGGCATGGCGGCCGACCCCACCCAGGGAGACACACCCGGCACACGCAAACACGTGCACGGGCACACACATGTGCACAGGTGCACACACAGGCACACACACACGTGCACAGGCACGTACACAGGCGCACGCTCACACGGGGCCTGGTCCGTGGGCGGGGGCGCGGCGGGGGTGTCTGGGCAGCCCCCCGCCGGGCTCACCCCCAGCTCCGACAGCATCTGCTCCAGCTGCTTGTTGAGGAGGTTGATGAGGCCCTGCTTCCTCTCGATGAGGATGGCGCGCCGCGCGATCTCGTTCTCGCTGTTGGTGATGAGGTCGTTCACTTTCTTCACCTCCTTGTCCAGCTCCGCCAGCACCTTCCGGTGCGCGTCCAGCCGGCAGCTGGTGTTGGTGATGTCCAGGGTGCCCTGGGCGATCTCGCCGTCGATTCTGGAAAGATGCGTCACCTGGGTGGGCAAAGGAGAGCCATTGAATGTCCCGTCGAGCCCCACGCTGGCGGTCAGCGCCCCTCCTGGACGGCCGGGCACGGCCAGGGTCTGAGCACCAGCCCAGGAGGCCGCCAGAGGACCGCCCCTTGGGCCTTCCCTCCCTTCCAGGGGCCTCCCCTCTCCCTGCCCTTGGGGTCTCCCCTCTCCCACTGCAGGGGCCTCCCCTGCCCCCATGGACGCAGCTGTGTAAGCTGCTCTGTCCTGGGGGAGTCTGGCCCTGATCTCCTGTGGCCTCTCTGCCAGCGGCCCTGCTGCCTCATTGTGACACTGTGACTCCCCTCCCGGTGGCCGGGGCCGCCGTGGCGTGGGAAAGAACAGGCCCAGCCGGTGGCCGGGGCCGCAGCCGCCTTCCTGACCCTGATGGCAGTGCCAGCACGACCCAGCGCTCCGGGTGCTCGTGGGACCAGAGTCCTCATGCTCATGGGGACCGGCTGGGGGCTTGTGGCCGGGGCGCTCGCCCACCTTGGGCTCTGGGGGACATCAGCGATACCCGAGCTGGCCAGGATGCCCCCAGGAAACCCAGCTGTGCACGGCCGGCCAGAGGTCCGCCCGCCTTCCTCTCCCCTGCCACGAGCAGGTCGGGAGCGAACAGCCCTCCTGGGGTCTGGGCACCCGGTACTCAGCGCTCCCTGGGGCAGGCTGGCCCCCCGGTGGGGCGGCGGGTCACTCAGCCCAGCTGGGCATCCTGGCCAGGACCCGCGTGACGGGACAAGGGCTGATGCTGAGAGCCCCGCCACTGGCCCCCCAGGCGCCGCTCAGTGTACCCAGGTGGTTAGTCCCTGAGACCTGCGAGGGGTGGCCCAGGTCAGAGGGTGAAGGCCAAGGGGCGGGGCCCCTCGTCATCCACCTGGCTGGAGCCGCTCAGGCGGCACCTTCTGTGGCCTGGCAGGCATGTGGCTGCTGCTGCAGGAAGGGGAAGCCGGGGCACTGCCTCCCAGGCTGAGAACGGGGGACACCGTGGGGCAGCCCCTTCACAGGGGTGCGCCTGGCTGGGTGCAGGCTGTGGAAGCCTCCATGGGGTCCCCTGAGGGAGCCGGCCAAGGCGTAACTGTGAGTGAGTGTTCACGTGATAGTGCCGGCTTGCACGGTTGGCTCTTGTGTGCACAGGGGCTGTTTGCACGTGAGTGTGAGTGTGTGTTTCAAGGCATTTCCACGAGGAAACGCGCCAGAACGCGGGAGGCGGGGCCCTGGCTGGCGGCTCCGAGGCCCATCGCCCAGCCCTGCCGCCCAGCCCGGGTTCTCTGCAGTCAGAGGCTTTGCTGCTGCCTCTAGAAAGGATGGGCAGGGCGGCCTCCCGCGGACGCCCCGGGCCCGCGCCCACTCACCAGGTTGGTCTTCTCCTTCTGCAGCTTCAGGATGAGCTGGCGGAAGTACTTGGTCATCTTGTTGGAGGTCATGTGCTCCTGCAGCTTCTCCGCCATCGAGGCGTCCATCTTCCTCCGCAGCTCCAGCTCGCTCTGGATGCCCTGGCGGAGGGTCTGCAGTTCGCTGAAGGTCACCGTGTGCTCCTGCGGGGGAGAGGGGGAGGCGCCGTGAGGGAGGGCCTGGGCCCGGCCCGTGTTGTCAGGGGTAGCGTTGGGGGCAGCGTCGGGGCCAGCGTCCTGGGCAGCGTCGGGGGCAGCGCGTGGGGTGGCTGCGGGCGGCGGGCCTACCACTCGGGCCTTCTCCAGCGTGTCCTCCGTCTCCTGCAGGGCCAGCTGGTAGGTGTTGAACTCATTCCTCAGCGCCTCCTGCTTGGCCCGGCACTGCGCCGTGAGCTTCTGCAGCAGGCTGGCCGCCGTCTCCGTGCGGTGGAGGACACTGGCCAGCTTCTCGTTCCTCTCTTCCTCCTTGACGATCGACTTCTTGTAGGCCTCCAGCTCCCCCTGCGCGGACCTGACCTGATGCTGGCACTCCCTGCCGAGGCGGGACGGTGGCGGGCATCAGCTCCTCTTGCTGTGGCCGGGAAGCTCTCCAGGCCAGAGCGGCCCCAGCGCATGCCCACGGGCAGGAGGGAGGCCCCGGGCTGCTGTGCCCACGTCCCCCCATCCCATCAACTCCTCAGGGAGGAAACCCGGGGAGGGCGCTGGTGACACAGGAGGGCCTGTGACAGATATGCTCAACCACCCACCACGTTATCTGTTCAGGGGGTCGACAGGTGTCGCCGGGGACACGAGGGACAGTCGGAGGGACAGTCGGTTGAGGTGGGGAGGGGGCAGGGGCAGCGCTGGACACCGGGCAGGGGTGCCCGTGCTGCGGGACTCTCTGGGGCAGCAAGGCCTTGAGAACCTCCACCTTGACCTTGCTCAAGGTCAGCATGGAGCACAAGGAGAAGCTGCCCGCACAAGGCCCGGCTGGTGCTCTCTAGACCAGGCCCTCGCGGCCCCATGTTTGTAGCACGCGGGCCCTGGCCGTCCCGCCCCCGTCCTCTTGGCCCCGGTGCCCACACCTGCATCTTCCTTAACCAGGACTCGCCGGGCAGCCTGGTGTCACTATATTGTGGACTCCGAACAGGGTTTTAACCAGACATTATTCATGTACAACGTCTCACTTTAACGCCATCGTGTAGGCCTCATTTTGGGGGTCACAGGACAGGGAGCAGCTCTCTCCTGCCGTGCAGGACCAGAGGCCATGCCCCCTCACTCTTGGCGTCCCTCGGGGCCCCTGCAGGGCCCTGGGCTGGAGCAGAGGTGCAGAGACAGCCGGGAGGCCTCCTGGGTGGCAGTGAGCCCCACGCCAGCGAGAGGTGATGGCCCCTGGGCCCCCCCAGCGAGCCAGGGTCACGGGTGGGGCCTTCCACACCAGCCTGGGGCAGCCCACCCAGCTGGAGGCCTCGGGGCAGGGGCTCACCCCTCCCTGCTCTGGGAGATGAAAGCAGAGGCTCGGTTGGAACACGGCCCTGGCAGGACGGTCGGGACGGATGGCGTTTCCAGCACAGGTGGTGAAACAGCAAATCAAAGGGCCACCTTTACCTCCACGCTCAGCGCCCCTTTCTCTTTCTCTCCCTCACGGTTCCCCCTTAATCCCCCCGGGAAATCTGAGCATGAAAGCTTTGCGGGAAGTCTGAGAGGATTTAAGAGATGTCGAAATCTTGGTGAACAATAAGGGGCTTTCAGGCCGGAAGCGGGGCTGCAGGTGCACCCCTTTGTCCTGCGGCCCGGCGGGAGGGGTGCCGCGCACCTGGGAGCAGGTGGGGACCTCGAGGCCCTCCCGCACCTCTGGCTCTCAGCACTGGCTGCCCTGAGGGCTCCCCCCGCCCCCCCAGCCAAGTCTTGGCCAGTCCCGGAAAGTGCCCCCCACAACCTGAGCGCCTCCTGGACGGTCCTGTGGGCCTCGTCGCGGTTCCGCATGCCCACCAGGCTGGCAGCCCACTGCTGCAGGATGTGCTTCTTCTCCACGTTGATGGCATCGATCTCCGTGCAGGCCTGCGGGGGGCCGGGGGACGACGCGGGGTCTGACTTATTTCACTCCACGCAAAGCCCAAGAGCGTGCCTAAGCCCAGCTTGCCTAAGGTCGCCTCCCCATCAGGCGCAGCAAAGGGTGGACGTGGGACCCAGGCTCAGGCCTACTCAGGGGCCCGCCGGGACATAGAGGGGGAGCAGGAGGGGGAGGGGTGCCTGGAGGACACTGCCTGGCAGACCCCCAGGCCAGACCCCACACTCAGGTGGCGGGACCAGAGACTCTCCGGAGAACTCTTGCCCGTGGGCTGGGGTTGGGTCACCCAGGAGGGGCATGGTGCCCACCCACCCGTCCGGTGCAGGTGGCAGGGGTGCCTCTGGAATGAGCAGGTGGCCCATGTGAGTGGGTGCGGGCAGGAGGGGCTGGAGGGGCGGCAGGGTGGACAGTGTGTGTGGGGTTGGGAGGGCTCCGAGGCGGGGCAGCAGGGGGATGCTGGCCCACGGAGGAGGGCTCTGACCCCAGGCAGAGGGCGCAGGCATCTACTCCAAGGGCCAGCGGGGCTCGTCTGGGGTCAGCGGCCCGGGGCTGCTCCCGGGGACAACAGCCGCTGCGTGCGGGAGCCGCCTGGGCCCAGGAGCCGGCCGAGGCAGCCGGAACCGAGACCTGCCAGCTCTGCGTGGGGGTGCGACCAGAGGGGGTGCCTCCGAGGGCCCCGGGCTGCTGGACAGGGCTTGCTGCTGAGGTGTGAGCTGAGAAGCAAGCTGAACCCAACCTCTAATGTTTTAAATGCTGCTCAATTAAAAAAACAAAACAAGCCTTCGATCCCTGTAACCCAGAATGAGAATAAGCAGACGAAGCCCCGATCTCTGCCCCCGGAGCTCGCCATTTTGGGGCCTCGAGCCTCCTCCTGGGCGTGCGTGCGTGTGCGTGTGTGGGCGCTGCTGTTCTGTCCACCACGGGGCTGTTCTGTCCAGTGCTGGGGGCGGCTGCAGCTCCTCTCTGCTCGCCACGCGCTCTGCACCCCCTCTTCATGCCTGCGCGGCGTCTGTGTCCAGGGCTCTGCCTGAGCTCATCTGCAGTAGTTTTCTTGGAGTGAGGCACAAGTGGGGATATTCTGGGGGGTACGGGGACTTGGGGGTGGCAGAGACGCTCCTTTCCCGATCCATCCTGCAAGAGGGCCCTGGGGTGACGCGCTCCCTGGAGGCCGGGGGCGGGGGGGGGTCGGGAGCACTCCGAGGCGGGGGCACTGCTCAGCCTCGGCTTGTCTCTGCCCACTGGGTAGACGCCCCCATCTGTCCCCTCCCCACCGTCATGGTGCCTCATTCGCTCATTCAGCCAATGCCCGGGGGTCCTGAGCGTGGTCCCCGTCCTGCAGGGAGGGGTGGAAGGACAAGGGGGGAGGGGCGACGGCCCCTCGTCATCCCCCTACAGCAGGGAGCCTGCCGGGGCCTTCTGATCCGCTCTCAGAATCCCCCAGGCCCTGGTGAGTGCCAGAGCCATCCTGCTGGGGCTTGGGCCAGGTACACCCCCAGTGTTTGGTGCTGGGTTTCTGGTTTGGGCACAGAGGTCCCCCCAACACAGGGTTTCATGCACATTCTTTTTCTTCAGATACATTTTCCCATTGAAAGACTTGATCCCATCTGGAATGTGTCTTAGTGTGTGGTACGAGGAAAAGATTTAATCTCTTTTCCCCAAATGTTTAACCAGATGCCCCAACACCATTGGGCCTGTGCCCCCTGCCCCCCGATATCCTCCCCGCGCCTTGGCTGCTCCTGGCTTGGTCACCAGCTCTGGAGGCGACACCCCCTGCCTCTGGCTTCAGAGCTCCTGCTGAGGTCCCAGCTCCCCAGACTTCACACGGGGGTCCCACATCTCAGGCAGCCCCTCAGCTTGGGGCAGCTGGGATGCCCCTACCCCTCTAGCCAAGACTTGGTCAGTCCCAGGAAGTGACCTTTCTGGTGAACGTGAGGCCTCTCTGGGCCGCAGGCTGGCGAGCTCTAGGCCAGCATGTTCACGGGCAGAGGGGCCGGGCAGCTTCCCATGTGGCCCGAGTGTGCTTGGCTTGGCCCTCCCCCCACAGGGGAGAGCTCGGCTCCCCTCGTGTCCCTGCAGGCTGGACGCAGACCACAGCGCGGAGAAAAGGAAGCCACGGACCCCGGCCTCGGGCTGTCCCCGCTGCTCCCTCGCTCCCCCCGAGCCCACAGTTCCTGAGGAACTGGGTGCCCATCATGCTGTGCTGCCCGACAGGGCCCAGTGCCCATCATGGACACAGGCACTCGAGATGCTGGGGGGCTGGCTGCCTGCTGGGGCACGCCCGCCCCCTGCCCGCGGCGGCGCTTACCTCGCTCACTGCCTTCCGGAGCGCACGGGTGTCCTCGGCCTGGGCGCAGTGCTGGGCCTCCAGCAGCGCACTCTGCTCCTCCAGCTGCTTGGCCTGGCTGGTGAGGTGGTCCACGTACAGGTCCTGGAGGAGACAGGACGCTCGGTGGGCACATGGGCGCCTGGGGGACAAGCTCTGCTGCCCTGACCCCATGGGGCTGCCCGACGCATCCGCCTCTCCCCCGGGGGCCCCGGCCATGAAGCAAGGGGCCGTGGGAGTCCCCAATTCTGGGCGCACCTGCTTCTTCTTGTCCATCTCCGCTCGGGAGCGCTGGGCCTCCGCCTTCCTCACCACCTGCTTCATCACCAGGATGTCGTCACGCACGTCTTGGTCCACGTTCTGCATGTAGAAGAGCTGCAGGGACAGGCCCTCCAGCTCAGCCTGCAGGGAGGCCACTGGGGGCCGGGCAGCATCAGCATGGGCAGCATCAGCCTCCAGCTCGGCCGCGCAGTCTGGCCGGACAGACCAGCCTGCGGAATGGCCGCCCACGCTTCCCGAGCCAGGGTGGGTGGACGCAGTGTCCCTGGAAGCCGCCGCCATGGGCTTCAGACCCGTCCCCCCGGAGGCCAGGCCCTCCGGGCAGGACGCCAACCTTGAGGCGGCTTAGGGACACGTGGGAGAGATGAGGCCACCGCTGGCCGCGGGAACACAACCAGCAGAGGCTGAAAGGGACAGCTGCAGGAGGAAGCCGGCCGCCTCCCACGGGCACCTGCGGCCTCTTCCCGTCTGCACCATAGCCACCCCCGGCTGCCCCACTCAGGGGTCGCGGCCCCTAGACCGAGCTCAAGCCCTGGCCAGGGGGGGCCTCACCCACGTGTTGCAGGTGCCTCTTCCCTGACAGCTGCCAGGGGCTCTGCAGCCTGCGCCCCCTCTGTGACACGGGACACCCGACTGCTCTGGCTTTGGTGTTTGCTGTTTTGCCCCTGAGGTGCCTTGAGGAGGCTCCTGAGGAGGACCCTCCCAAGACACAAACACTCTCGCTCTGGGCGTCCACGGGAGAATCACGTGGAGAATCACGCTTGGGGACACCAGCAGGGATGGGGTGGCCAGGGGGCTCCGGGGGCAAGTGGGCATGGGGGGTGGGGGGAGGTTGCCCAGGGCTGCAGGTGGGGGGTGGGCCCTCAAGCCCCCGGGGGGCCGCCTTACGCTTCTTGCGTTCCTCGTTGGCTGCCTGGAAGATGCGGGTGTAGCGCAGGCGCACGCCCTGCAGCTCCTCCTCCCGCCGCCGCCGGGTGCACGCGGCCACCGCGTGGCGGTCGTGGCTCTTCTCCAGCTGCATCTGCAGGCGGGCCAGGTGTTGCTGTGCCCCGTAGAGCTCCACACCCAGCTCCTGCCGCTGCAGGCGGCTCTGCTTGGTGGCCGAGGTCTGCGCCAGAGAGAGCAGCCGGGTCACGGGACGCGGGGACCGGGAAGCAGGCGCGACGCCGGCAGATACGCACCAGCTCTTGCAGCTCCAGCTTCAGCTTTTCTGTCTGTCGGCTGAGGTAGGTTTTCAAGGCAGCCTGGAATCTTATCATCAGGGGCTGAAGCAACAAAGACGCAGACAGGTCATGGCCTGTCCCACCTGTCGCCACCCCTGCAGGCCTCAGCAGGGGGGACGTGACTTCCACCCGGGTGGCCCCACTTCTTCCTGGAATTCTGGAGCTGGAAGCCACGCGTGAAAGGCACAGGTCGTGGCTCCAAGGCGCCACGACCCGCGAGCCTGCTTTGCCGTGGACAGTGAATGGGGTGGCAGCCCCGGGGCCGGGGCAGGGCTGAGCCCGTGAAGGGATGCCAGTGCCTGGCGAGTGCCCAGGGCAGCCTCCAGCCTTGCTGCAGCCAGAGGGGGCTCCGTGGCTCCCCGCGCGGGTCCACCTGACCAGACTTGCCTTCTGCGTCTGCCAGGTGGGTGGAGATGGCGTTCATGCCCCTGCTGTGTGCAGAGGGCAGCGACCTGCCCCGCCCACACTTGGCCAAGACCAGAGGTCTTTTGGCTGTTAGAGTTATTTGGGATAAGGATGGGGAGAAGCCGGGGGTGCTGCCCGATGGCCAGCGGTGCGCAGGGCGCCCCACACTTGCGTGGTGCTGGTGGGAATGCCGCCTTGGGGCGCTGAACCTACGAGCGTGGTGCTGGTCCCACGGGCAGGCCACACCGTGCAAGACGGGTGTGGGGTCTGGGGCCCGGCCAGGCCAGGCCAGGCCCGCGAGGGGTATCTCTGCGGTTCTCTGTCTGCGTGGGGCAGTGGCAGGACCGGGGAGTGTTCTTACGTGGTCTGGGTCCAGAACCACCAGCTGGGACCCCTCCTCCGCCTCGTCGCTGCCCTCAGACTCCGGCCTCTCCGCCCGGGCCTCCTCCGGGCTCAGCTGCTGCAGCCGGCCCAGGAATGTGGCAGACATGGAGCCGCCCCAGGTGAGGGCATCTGCCTCCCCTGGGGAGACACCAAGCGGTGCCAGAGTTGGCAGGGACGAGCCTCCGCCAGCGCTCCCGCCCAGGGGAAGGCAAGGGCGTGGCCACGGGTTGGGGGGGGGGGCACCCAGGGTCTCTGACACGGAGCCCGCTGCGGGGTGGCAGCGAGATGGGCGAGGACAGAGCCAGCGCCCACCCGCATGGGCTTAGGCCGCCAGCGCCCGGAGCGAGGCCGCGGGGGGACGCCGAGGCCTGCCGGTGTACCTGGCTCCCGCGAGGAGGGCTCGTCGTCTGCGTTGAGGAGGCTGCCCTCTGCCCCAGAGGAGGTGCTGCTCGACAGGCTCAGGCGGAGGTGGTGCCGAGCCCCGAGGAGGGGCGCCTCGCCCTGGGCTTTTGTCTAGAGCAAGAACAAGCAGCCCCCATCAGGGGGCCCGGTCAGGAGGGGGGGGGCGGGGTGCGCTCTGCTTTGATTCGTTACAGCCTCAGAATTCAGCGCAACCCTTAAAGCAATAGGAAACCGCGTGGAAAGGAAGATTGTTTGGCTGCTGCCTGTGGTTAAAATAGAAAGCACCATTCCCTCCCCCAGGCGGGACGCAGACCCTGGGCCAAGGGCAGGACTGGTGGGGTGGGGGTAGGGTGCCTGAGCCTGAGGGTTATTTGGGAACATCGCAAAGCCACCACCTGGTTTGCTAACGGCAGGAGGCTGTTTGTGGGGAGCACTCATGGAAGCTTCGGGAACAGTGGTGCGTCAGATCAAAGCTCACACTTGAGTGCTTGAACGAAAAAACCTCCTCATTACACTTGCATTTTTTTTTTGCAAGCCTGTGATTGTTTAAAAATAAAAACCAAGACTGCTGTCCTCACGCATCGCTGGGGCGGGCGTCCAGTGTGGCACAGACACCCAGATTCACTGAAATCTTCATCTTTAAAAGGGACAGGTCGGCCTCTCCGCCTCCCAGGCCACAGTTCATGAGCTCTGTGGCCACGACCCAGTGGTGTCTGCGGGCAGGGAAGCAGCACCCCCTCCAGGGAAGCCCCTTGGGTGGCCCTGAGCCTCAGGCTACATCCTGGACACCACCGACCTGGGCTTGGGGACTGGGAGGGCGGGGCCGGGCCCCTTGGTTTCCACATGGACCCAGAGTCCTGCCTGGCTCAGCTCCTTCCCAGGGAACTGCAGCGTGTCCTGAGTCCCTGGCGGGGGCACGGGCAAGGATGGGCCAGGCCAAGGCTGGGGCTACTCACCAGCTTGCCAGCCCCGGGTGCTGGGGCTTCCAGGCCCGGGGGCTCGGGTAGCCCTGGCGCCTGCGGTGGGGACTCCGTGGCTGTGACCACCTCTTCCCATTCTGACGGCTGGATCTGCCGCCTGTCCGTGAGGCCCGCGTCGCCCAGGGCCGGCTCTTCTGCGAGCAGGGCCTCGGGGCTGGCATCCGAGTAACTCAAGTTTGTCGAACTCATCTTCCTTTCCGGGGACAAGGTGTCCATAACGGATTCAAATTCTCCTTCCCATTTGAATTCCTCTTCCATTTCGAAGCCGCCTTCCGATCCGAATTCCCCACTGGTTGCCATCTCCCCTTCGGAATGTTCTGGAGCACCGAGAGCTTCTTCGTGGATTGGGTCCAGGCTCTGCGCAGGGGGCAGGCCCTACAGTGCATGGGGGGACCAGGAGACAAAGTGTGACAGGCCTGGGGGGGGCCCTCGCTTCACTCGCCCACGCTGGGGGGATGGCCTCACGCTCGGGCCTCAGTGAGGAGCTGTCTCATGCGTTCATGTAGCTGTCGTGTGCGTGCGTGTGTGTGTGTGTGTCTTCCTTCATTATAGGAAGTGAATTATGAAAAGTTCAGGCATGTGCCCTGGGCCGTGGGGTGCTCCGGGGCCGCCCCAGCGCCTGGGAAGGGCGGGACGTCTCTGCGGGGACCGTGCGCCCCAGTGCAGGTGACGGATCTTCGCCCAACACGAGTTCCTCGTGGCTACGCCCAGAAAGGCCCCGGGAGGTTACCCTGTCGCCTTCCTGCTCCGGCTCCAGCTCCAGGTCCTGGTCTGGCTCTGGCTCCTGGTCCTGGTCCAGCTCCTGGTCCTGGTCTGGCTCTAGCTCCTGGTCCTGGTCTGGCTCCACCTCCTGGTCCTGGTCTGGCTCCAGTTCCTGGTCCTGGTCCAGCTCCTGGTCCTGGTCTGGCTCCAGCTCCAGCTCCTGGTCCTGGTCCTGCTCTGGCACCTGGTCCGGCTCCTCCACCTCCTCCTCCTGGTCCCTCTCCGGGGGGGCGTCATCTTCCAGCTGAGACCTGGTTGCAGAGGACGCGGCCCACAGGCCCAAGTCACGCTGCTTTTCTCGGCATTTCTCAGCTGCAGGGCCCCATCTCCCCATGAGCTACCTGTGCCCCTCTAGGCTGTGGGCCTCACCTGGCACCACCCCCACGATGGACCACCGCATCGGGGCGCCCCAGAGGTGGAAGAGGAAACTGTGGTCCCTGGACCCTTGGGGCAGTGCGGACGCCGCGAGACCCGCCCGAGTCTGGGGCAGACCAGACTGGGAAACCAACGCGGAGGGAAGGGGCCGCGGAAGGACAGACCGGGCACCGCCAGCTTCGCCCTGAGCTGGGTGCCCAAGAACAGCCTGGTTTACCCGCTTCACTTGGGTCTTCTTTTATTTTTTTCTAATTAGAAATACAGGCTTGGGCCTCCCTGGGGGCGCAAGGGGTTAAGCACCGCACTAGGAGGCAATCCGCAGCCTCTGCAGCACGAGTTCCATCCCTGGCCGGCCAGAGAGCAACCCACATGGCGGAGACCTCTCCTGCCGTGCCCATGCTCCCCTCAGCAGTGCACGTCGGCCAGTCTGCCTGTTGTGTTCCCCGCTGTTTCTGGTGAGTCCTCTCACGCCCTGCCCCTCTCGCCTGCACCCCGGTTCTTACATAAATAAATAAATCTTTAAGAAAAAAAAAGAAATACAAGCTCATTTCTTTAAGCAAACGGGTGCAGACGTGTGTGGTCAGGCGGTGAAACGCCCAGGGGCTCCCCCTTCTCAAGACAACCAGGGGACGCTGAGATTTAGGGGACGTCCTTTCAAGTCTTTCCAAGCATTTCCACACACACCCCCCAGTTGCAGTCAGCTCCCATTGACTGCAGGCCCCGCCCCCGTCCGCACAGGCCCCGCCCCCTGTCCGCACAGGCCCTGCCTCTCGGTCAGCACAGGCCCCGCCTCCCGGCCAGCACGGCCCCGCCCCCTGTCAGCACAGGCCCCGCCTCCCGGTCAGCACGGCCCCGCCCCTGTCAGCACAGGCCCCGCCTCCCGGCCAGCACGGCCCCGCCCCCTGTCCGCACAGGGCCCGCCCCCGGCCGGCACAGGCCCCGCCCCCCGGCCGGCACAGGCCCCACAAGCTTTTTTAAAAACCAAGCGGGGTCAGAGGTAAAGGGTCACGTCCCCTCCCGGCGCCTCACCCCTTCCGCAGCACGAGCCCGCAGGGGGTGAGCCCGGCTGCCCGCTGGGTCCCGGGGTCCGGGGGCCACGGCGGGGCTGCGGGGCCGGACCGGGGCGCCCAGCCCGGCCGGACCGGCCGCCCTTCGGGACGCGGGGGCTGCCCCGCCCCCCCCCCCCCCCGTCGAGCCGCCTCTGCGGGAGACCGCGCGGGCGGCGGGTGGTCGCCATGGTTACCAGCGCCGGAGCCCGAGCCGGGGTTTTGGGGAGCCAGCGCCTCCAGGGGGGCCGGGGAGGCGCCACAAGGGGGCGGGGGAGCCGGGGAGGGGTGGGGGTCGGGGCGGGGGGGCCTGGCGGGGAGGGGCGCGCGGGCCGTGGGCAGGGGAGACGCGGGGAGACGCGGGGAGACGCGGGGAGACGCGGGGTGCTGGGCCCCGCCGCCCCGGCCCCTCACCTGCGGGCGCGGCCGCCCGGCCCCGCCATCCCGGGTCGCTGGGCGACGCGTCAACATCCGGGGGGGCCGCGCGGGGCGGGCGGGGCGGGGCGGGGGCGGGACCCCGCGGCTCGGGCGGGGCCCCCCGCGTGCGAGCGCGCTCGGGCGTCACGGGCGCCGCCACGGCCGGGGGGGGGGGGGGCCCGCCCCCGCCCCGCCCCCGCCCCCCGCGTCGCCACAGCAGCGGCCGGTCCGCGGGGGCGGGGGCGCCGCGCAGCCACCTGCGGTGCCCCCACCCCCCCCCTCCCCGGCCTTGGGGGGCTCGGCACCCCCTCCCCGGGGACCCCGCGAAGATTCGTTGGTGGAGGAGGGGTGCCCAGGAGGGGTCGCCCCTTCCTAGGCAGACGCGAAATACATGCTCGGGCGACGTGTTTCGGGGGGCCGAGCGCGCGCGCACTCGGGGAGACCCGGCTCCGGCCTTCGCTCCGGGGTGCGGGGCGCGGGCCGGGCGCGGGCGGGCGGGGCGGGGCGCGGGGCGGGCGGGGCGCGGGGCGGGCTCGGCGCTGTCCCCGCCCCGGCCTCCGGGCTGCAGCGGCGCGGAGCTGGGGCGCGCGGAGCTGGGGCGCGCGTCCGGCCCGGCTGCGGACCCGGGTGGGTATCGGGCCGGGCGGGGCGCGGGGCGCGGGGCGGGGGCGCGCGGGCGCGAGGGCCGCAGCCGGGCGGAGGCCCGGGCGCTGCTCCGGAGGGGCGGGCGCGGCGCGGGGGCTCCTCAGGCCCCGGGCCCCCTCCGGCCCCCTCCGCGGGGCGGGGTCCCGGGCGGGGGCGGCCTCGCCGGGGAGGCCGGGGCTCGCCGGTCGGGAGCCGCGGGCCGAGAACTCGCGGTCTTTGTCTGGCTGCTGCGCGGAGCACGCGGATGAGGACTCGCGGGGGGTCGCGCGGGCCAGCGTGGGCCCCCCAAGTGCGCTCTGCACCCCAGCAGCCGCACCCTCTGCGCGCCCGGCCTGGGGGGGCCGGCTGGTAGAGCCGCGGGCCCCCCAACTCACTTCCTCTAGGCCCGGCCGCTCCCCTGGCTCTTTACTTTAAAAAAAAGAAAAAACCAGAAAGAGAAAAAGGCGACTTACGCTTCTAAATATAACCCGAGGAGCCGCCCCCCTGAATCTTGAAACCCTGTCACCCCGCCCCGCCGGGCCGGGTCAGGGGCCACCATCTAGCCCCGATCCTGCCTGGTGTCGCCGCTGCCGGCCACGTGGGCCCTTCCCTGGCCGAGGGGGCGAGGGGGGCCCTTCTGGAGAGTGGCGGATGGCGCTTGTGCCCCCCAGGTGGGGCTGTGGGGGGCACCGATTGATCAGGGATCGTGAAAGCATCTGCGTGTGCCTTCTGGAAGCTCCCCGCTGGGGACGTCGGCGTGGAAATTGGTCAGTGAAGGTGAGACCCTCTGAACCCGAGACTTTGGGGAGAAACACGGTGAGGCGGGCAGCGCCCGTTAGTCTGGCTGTCCAGCCCAGAACAGCTGCTGGGGCTGTGTCCTGCTGGACGCGGCGGTGCTGGTGCCGGTGCTCCGGGCCGGGGGTCTCGCACACCCTGAGGTCCTCGCGGGTGTGCCCGTAACGCTGCCCCAGCGCGGTTGTGTAAATACGTGTGCTGATCCGCCGGCACGCAGCCCGGGCGGACTGTGTCCATTTCACAGACGTGAACTCGGAGAAGGGGTTGCCCGAGCACACGCAGTGGGGGGTCAGGTCCTGCTGGTCCAGCCCTGGAAAGCCGCTGTGCCACCTGCCTCCCCTGCACTGGCCCCCCACTCACATGCACCCCCTCCCCCCCACCGGCTGTCGTCCCGTGCACTAGCACGGCCGGGTCCGCAGAGCCGCCCGCGCTCGCCCAGCCCCGCTGGCCACGGTATGGCTCACTCCCCCTGCCTCGGTTTCCCCGCCTGTAAGAAGGAGCCACCCGCCCCCTCGCTGCGCAGGTTGTCAGAAGCAGCTGGTGCCCGGCACACCCTCGGCTCTTGTCACTTTTCCTAATTACGAATAAAATAAAAGCCTTTGGAATTTCTGCACGTAGCTAGATTGGTGAAAACGCGCTGGGTCGGTTTTCGCTTCCAGGCGTGTGGCTGGCCAGGTGGGCGCCGCCCCGGTGAACGTGCCGCCAGGTGTGTTTGCACTTTTGTCTTGGTGACTTTGGGTCCCTGCCTGCCGTTCCAGGGACACCACCCCGTTGCCTGGCAGCACAGATCTCCAGTAGAGAGATGAGCAGGTCCACCCCTTCCGGCGGAGGGACCCTGAGTTTTTCACTGACCTGACTCCCCGCTGGAAAGACCGGTTGGTTGGATTTGCGGGCCGTGCGCTGTTGCACCACAGGCGTCCGTTGTGCTGTACCGCAGGTGCCGCGTTGTGTTGTAGCGTGGGCCTGCGTCGTGTCGTGGGCCTCGGGGGTACATTGTATTATTCTGATGGTGCTGGTGAGGCCAAGGCGGAGACCACTGAACCCAATGTGCACCCCTCCCCGCTGGGGAATACAGGGCATCCCCCCAGTCTGCCCATGCGCACGCGCGCCAGCCCTGGGCCGGGTGGTGCTGTTGGGCCTGTGCGTCCCCATGGCTGCCCGTCAGGGTCACAGCTCGGAGCCGAGAGCATGTCCTTCCCTCCCGAGCTCACGGGGGTCCCCAAGCGGGAAGACAGCCTCTGCAGTCTCGGTGGCCGCAGCGCCAGGGAAGGGCCCTGAAAGGCACCCCCGTCTGGCTAGCCTGGGTGGCGAGTCCTCCGGGCCTGTGTGGGGTGGCGCGCGAACCGCGGGCACCGTGGTCTTTGGGACCCGGCTGCAGTCAAAGCCCACAGGGCGCGGGCGCAAGCTGCTGTTACCATCCTTTTCACCGCAAAGTCGGGGTTTCCGTGAAGACCAGGTGGGCGTTGGGTTCCGGGCAGGTGGAGGGAACTGTGCTTCCCGGTGCTGCAGCAGGTGTCTGCGGTCTGGCTGGTGTCCTATGTGGCATCGCCGTGCCCACTCGATTTTGTTCATCGGGCCGAGGGCAAAGCCGATGGACTGGGGTTTGCCAGCCGCACACGGCAGCTCAGGCGGGGGTTGCCCCCGTGGGCTGCGTCCCGTCCGGCAGCGCCCCTGCGGAGGCAGCTGTCACGTGAACGTGGCCTGCAGGCCCGGGAGGTCTGTCCTGCCAATGCCTGGGGCAGGGCTCCATGGGACACCAAGTGGGTGACCCCAAAGCTGTCAGGGAGGGGCGCAGGTGGAGGGAGAGGGCAGGCTCAGGAGCTGCGAGCCCGCAGGGAGCAGCCCACCCACCCGCAGGGCCGGGCTGGTGGAGGGAACGCAAGCCCTGGCAGGGCCACAGGGACCCTCTCGCTCCAGCCGGTGGGCCTCGCACCCTCCGGGAGCTGCCCGCTGTCACCTGTGGCCATGACTGCCCCCGCCCCCAGCCAGTCCCAGGGACCCTGCCGGACAGGAGGGGCCTTGGAGCACGGAGCAGTCCCGGATGAGCCAGGCCGACGCCATACCTGGGCCCCAGAGCCCCAGAGCCGGCCGGGGTCCTGCAGGGTGGGCAAAGATGTGGGCCACTTGCTGCCACCGGCGGGCGCGGTCCTGGTCACCCCGCGGCAGGCACCGCCCTGCGGCCCCGCGTGACCCTGCGGGCTGAATGCGGGTGGTGAACAGGGGCAGGGAATGCGGGGTGACCCTGTTGGCCTGGGGTGCCTTGAAGCCCTGGATTTGGGGGTGTCTGTGGCAGGTGGGCTATGCCCCGCCCTCCCCATGGGAGGTGGCCTTGCCGGGTGCCTCGTCCGCCCCTTCCTCTCCTGACGGGCCGAGGGGCGGGGGGTCAACTCAGGTGCATGCTCCGCAGCTGGAGGACCGGCAGGACAGCCAGGGGAGGGCGCTGCCAGCCCGGGAGACGGAGGCTGCATTCACCACGATGAGGGTCCCCAGCCTTCCCCACTGGGGGGCACCATGGGACATGGGGTGAGGGGGCGGGACTCTCACAGCGGGGCCGGGCCTGGGGAGCAGGCCCCCGGGCCCACACACAGGGCCAGGAGCTTGATGGGCCCACAGGTAGAGTGGACAGGAGGCTGTGGGGTCCTGGCTGGGAGGGGGTGAGCCCCTGGACCACGGGCCTCGCCTCTCGATAAACAGAAGCCAAGCAGACATGGTGGGGAGGGAGGCGGCTGAGGGACTGGGGGTCCCGTCCCTGTGGCCCTAATGTGGGAGCCTGGACCTGCTGGGTCTCAGGAGGGCAGGTGGCTGGACACTGTCCCCCATCCAGCGGCTGGCTGCTGGATGTGGCGCGTGAGCCGCGTTATCCATGGCGCTGCAGCCTCTCGGAGGCCTGCGTGTGGCGGGAGTGAGGACGCGCTTACCACACGTCCGTCACGCGTGCAGTGCGGGGACTGAGAGCCCGGGCCAGGCAAGTCTTGGGGTCCCAGCTGAGGGCTCCCCTCTTTAATCTTCCCAAAAGGCACCCCAGCTATAGTTGGGGTCCCTGTTCACATCAGACAAACAACTGAGCACGCCGTAGAGACCAGGAGTCGACGCCGTGGGGACCTAGAACAGAGAGGCCGCCAGTGCCCGGCTTTGTCCTGGGGATGGGCGTGTGAAGTGTAGAGGAAGTAAGAGGAAGCCAGGAAGGAAGGTCACGGCCAGTTTGCACAGAAGTTTAAAATGTTTGTTCTTCAAGATAATAAATGAAAAGACAAACACAGGTTCGGGAAAACACACGCAGTGGTGACGTCCGGACCATGATCTGGGCTCTGGAACGGGCGCTTCCGTGCTGGTTAGATTCCCGACGTCCAGCTCGCAGCCCTGCAGAGCGCGGCGCCTGGGCTAGCGCGGACGCCGGGTCCGGGCTGGACAACCTGAGCCGCGGCTTGGTCATTGGAAACCGGTTTCAGCTTCCAAACTGGCAGCGAGTCAAGCCCCCGGGCATGCCGGTGCCCTTGGGGCCCACTGGACGGCGGGCCAGGGTCTGAGTGCTCCTCCCCAGGAAGCGGACAAGGGTCCCGGAAGTCATCCTGGGGCGGTGAGGACAGACGGAGAGATGTGCGGAAACAGAGTTTATGGTTTAAATGGCCTCCGTGTCCTTGGGGTCTGCTGGCGGCGGTGGCTGACTTTCTTACGGGGCAACCCCGAGGGGCTGGTGGTGAGTCCTCACCTTCAGAAGCAGAGCAAGACCCCGAACCACACACGCAAAAGGGGCTTATTTGCATAGGGGGTGAGGAAGAGAGGGCGAGAGAAAAAAATGTGTTGGCCGGCACGTGGCCTGGTGTGAGCCGCCCGGCCCAGGTGTCTGCTGAGCAGAGCCCGGGCCTTTCGGGGGCGCCTGTGGCACAGGGTGGGGGTGTCGCCTTGCTCCCTGTCTTTCAGGTCCCCTGGCGGCTCCGCTCCGCCCCTGGCTCCCAGCAGCCCCGGCTCAGGAAGGGAGGGGAGTGTCACCTGCCGGCCGAGGGTGGGCCTCTGGAGACCCGGTTGGCGTCCTGTACCCACAGGTTGCGCCCACAGCTGTTAAGACACGGTCGGCGCAGCGGAGCTGAGAATTTGTTAGTAGCAAAACCTGTGGGTCTCCCAAGGCGGCCACGGCGAAGGCCCCGCACTGGGGTTTGAGCCGCAGACGCCGGTGGGTCTTGGTTCCGGAAGGTGAAGTCCGGGGAGCAGGGCTGCTTCCTTGTAGGCCGCGGAGGGGTCCCTGTCCCGGCCCCGCTTGCGGCAGGCGGCCCCACGTCCCGATGTTCCGGCTTCAACGGACCTGTGTGGGGACCGCCTTTTTGTAAAGGGCGCCGGCTGCCGGCTTAGCCCCCCGTGTCTGACTCGTCACCACGTGAGACTGTCAGGTGAGCTCGCGTTCTGACACACGGGGTGAGCGTTTCAACGCAGCAATTTGGGAGGACGAGATTCCGCCCCTAGCCCCGAGGAGACGGCATCTGTGGGGCCCTGTGGGTGGTGTCGGGCAGACTGGAGTCGGAGGAGGAGCACACGCCTTGAGTCGAGTCACCCGAGGCCGGGCAGTCTCTGCTCTTCTCAGCGTGCCTCATAGTTCAACATTAAAAAAGCTTGGAAAGGGGTCCCGGCCCCCACTTTAGTTTGGCAGAGCCCAGAGGTCGGGAGGGCTTGACTTAGGAGACGGGGGTCACAGAGGGACAAGCACCTAATACAGGAGCATCGCCTGAGAAGAGTAAATGTCTTTTACGTTTACCCAGACAAAGCCTCATTGTCATCTGGGAACAACTGTGGGGGGGCAGGTGGAGCCACATGGGACTTCCCGCTGGCCGGGGGTTGGGCTGGGGCTGGAGCCGGAACTCTGCCCCGGGAGCAAAGGTCTCCAGTTCTGGCCTTGCTGGGTGGCTGCTCCCTGTGGCTCCTCCCTTGTGGTTCCTCCCCCATGGCTCCTCCCCATGGCTCCTCCCCCATGGCTCCTCCCCATGGCTCCTCCCCCATGGCTGCTCCCTGTGGCTCCTCCCCATGGCTCCTCCCCATGGCTCCTCCCCCATGGCTCCTCCCTGTGGCACCTCCCCCGTGGCTCCTCCCTGTGGCTTCTCCACTGTGGCTCCTCCCTGAGGGCTTTGCTGCCCTGGACCTGTTCTGCCCCTGCAAGTTGAGCCTCTGGGTTGCACCCCCCCCACCCCCGACCTGCTGCGAGCTGCAGTTGGACCCCTGCAGTCTCCCAGCCCACTCCCTCGAATGCTCAGCCGGCCCAGCCCTGGGGTGTTTGGAATCCGGGGAGGGGTGCTGGCAGGGGGGCCTGGACAGTGGAACTGTGGAAGCGGGGGGGGGGGCAGGGAGGAGGGCAGCGCCCTCTGGGAGGTGCCTTGGCCCTGGTGCACCCCGGCTTTGGAGCCCTAAGTTTGCCCCCCTGGCTGCAAACGCTGCCCCACGGGGTTCGTGCTGCCGTGGCTCTGGGGGTGCAGGGGCAGGTTGATGTCCCACATGGAGGCGAACCTGCTCCTTCTGAACCTTATAACCGGACTCTGGGAAGCGTGCAGGCGCCGGGCCGGTGTTTCTCCCGGCAGCGCGGGTCCCAGCTCCTCCTCCCGGGGACCAGCAGTGTGGAGTTCTGACTCCAGGCTCACGGCTGGAAGAACTTCCTAGGTGCGGCCGCAGTGACTGCCGCCTCCTCCATGCAGGTGACAGCGGCCGTGTGTCCAGGGCTCTGGGGGAGTCCCCGTGAGAGTGTCCGGGGCGTGGCGAAGAATCCTGAGAGCGGTCGCAGCCCCCCAGGCGTCCCCCATTCTGTAAGCGCGTGAGCCGAGAATGGCTTTTGCGTTTTTGGAAAGCAGCTGGAAGGGGGTTTTGGTGACGTGGAAGCCTCGCGCAGGCTGAGTGCCAGGAGCGAAGCCTCTCTGAGCAGGCCGCCCCGTGGAGGTCGAGGGCCCCGGCAGCCTCGGGCGGGCTGGGCTGAGGCGCCCGTGAGGCTGGCTGGGGCCCGGTGGAGGCTTGGAGCCCTGTGGGCAGTGGTGCTGGGTTGCTCTGGGCCTGGGACGAAGCGCACAGAGGAGCGAACAGCCACGGAGGCAACTGGACATAGGCTGATGGCACGGGTAGGGCACCCCGAGACCGGGTGGGGGTCGCCAGCCCATCTTGGGCCCCCTGGTCTGGGCACAGCAAGGGACACTGAGGTCACCCTCCCTGCCGGGGACCAGGCGGTGCTGCTGAGTCAGCCGAGTCCCCGCCCCAGAGCCTGTCCAGGCGCCGCAGGTGAAGAGCCTGATTCAGGGAACCTCCCCCGTCAGCTCGGGATTTAGGGGGAAGCATGAGAGGTGCAGAGAGCTCGAGAACATTATGACATGCCCCGAGGCCTTCCGTCAACTGGCGATGGAGGGAATGTGGTGGTGACATGCAGGTGACTCAATTTACCACTTTAAACACTTGTCTCCGTGGCTCAGTGCGCCCCCGAGGCTGTGCGGGCGCCTCCCCCGAGTCTCCCGAGCTCTGCGGCCTCCACAGGAGGCCCTGTCCCCATGGGCCCCCAGGCCCTCTGGGGCCCCCGGCTCTTCTGGGGCTCCCCATGCCCTCCTGGGGCCACCCAGCCCCTCTGGGGCCCTCCCAGGAGTGGGGTCACCGTGCCCCTCCGTGACCGGCCCGAGGGCGGCATCCCCAGCGCCGCGCGTCGGGATCCCGCCCCGTGTCCTGGGCCCGCGTGCTGTCTGGGACGTTCCGGCTGCTGCTCCGTTCTCACGGGGCCACCCGGTACGTTGACTTCAAGTGTTTTTTTCCTTTCAGAGAGATGAGGTTGAAGTTCCTCTGGGGTCACCCAGTACCCCCAGCTCCCCATGACCTGGGGGCCCAGCCTGGCCCCAAGCGCCTCCATAGTCTGTGTCTGGGAAATGACCCCGCTCCCGTCACCCTTGTCCCATCGCACCCAGGGTCCTTGCTGCTCAGCAGACGGTGGGCCTGCCGCGCCCCGACCAGGTGGTCAGCAGGGATGGACAGCCGGGACGGTCGGCCGGGATGGTCAGCCGGGATGGCCAGCGGGGCGGTCAGCCGGGATGGTCAGCCAGGATGGTCAACAGGGTGGTCAGCCGGGATGGTCAGCAGGGCGGTCAGCAGGGTGGTCAGCAGAGCGGTCAGCCGGGATGGTCAGCCGCTGTCCGCTGTCATGTTTTCCAGTTCAGTCCGTGCAGGCGGCTCCTCCCACTGGGCTGTCCGGCTTCCAGGGGCCTCTGCCCGCCCCCCTCCCTGTGCCCTGAGGCACTCCCCGCACCCCAGTTGCAGGGCGTTTGCTGAGCTGGGGTCTGGCAGTGGGTGCCGTGGATGGGCACCCTGTCCTGCATGGAGCACCCCGCGAGGGAGCCGGGCGCCCCGAGTGCCCTTTCCCTGCGCTGCCCTTCCCCGCCGCTCCCACTAGCGTCCTGGAACCGCGTCGTTAGGCGTTTGCCCCTGAGACCTGGAGCCCCTTTCCATGCTTAGCAGGCCCAGGGCTCCGTTCTCTGGGGCGCTCCTGGGCCACAGCTCCTTTTGGGGTGAGTCTGAAGAAGTGCCGGTATATTCTGGGGGCCGGCGCTTTTGTCTCTAGTTATTCGGAACGAGTTGTGGGTGACTTCAGGCCCGTCGAGCGTTCCTGGGGACGCCCCTTCCAGCGGAGAGGCCCCGAGAGTGTGGCGACATCGGGGTGGGCATTCGGGTGACAAGGACACTTGGGGGGGCAGGGGACTTGGGAAGCACAGCAGAGCGGCGGGGAGGGTTGGGAGGGGGCGAGAGCGGGCAGAGCGGCCCCCCATGCCAGGTGCTCCCCGGGGGAGTTGGTGGTATCCGGACACGCGGCGGTGGTGCTGGGAAGGGGGTGCTGTGGCAGCGAGTGGGCGGCGGCCAGGGACATGCAAGCTGGACGCCCCGAGCACGACCTGGGCAGTGCCTGGGCAGGGAGCCTGGCCTGGCCTGGACGTGCCTGGTGCTGGCAGCCCCGCCCGGCGCTGGGGGCCGGTGCGGGGTGCAGGACCCGGCGCGGCGGGGGCAGGACCCGGGCGCAGCCGCATCACGCTTGGGCCCGGGTGCAGCTCCCTCTCTTCCTCCCGGCCAGGTCTGGACGCCCCGCCTGGGCCCTCGCCGCGGAGGATGGAAACACCCTCCTGGAGATGTCTCTGGGCCGCCTCCTCCGCCGGGCCTCCTCCAAAGCCTCGGACCTCCTGACCCTCGCCCCGGGTGGCGGCGGGCCCCCCTCCGTCCTGGACGGGGAGATCATCTACTCCAAGAACAATGTGTGCGTGCACCCGCCGGAGGGGCTGCAGGGGCTGGGGGAGCACCACCCAGGTGAGCCCTCGGAGGCACAAAGGGGGCGGGGGGCCGGGCCCCAGGCCTGGGGGGCAGGGACCCTGGTTGGGGCAGGGGCCCCCAGGTGTGGGAGGGGGAGAGGCAGCTGCCCTGGGCTAGAGCCGCCCGGCTCTAAGTGCGGGAAGAAACTCTCAGCTGCCCTGCAGGGTCGGGGCCAGAGCAGCTTCCTCTTCTGGGGTACCCTGTGTGCTGCGCGCTGAGGGGCCAGGCCCCCAGAATGCCGTGGGCGCCTGCTTCCCCTTCCAGCGCGGGTCGCTGACCGGCTATCCTCGGGCTGGACACAGAGGCCAGCCCCCGGGCCAGCGGGGAGCCCCAGCCCCCGGCAGGAACAGGGATGGTTGTGACACCCCCGGCCTGTGTGTCCTTTGTCACTTGTGTCAGTGACTCGCAGCGGATCCACGTAGTGTTTGATGGGATCTGCACGGTGACCTCACCAGCGTGGCCTGAGCCCCGGCAGCAGGAGGCAGCGCCTGGGGGCGGCTCCCCACAAGGCCAGCAGGGGAAGGGGGTGGCCCTGCTCTCCCATCTTCGCGTAGCCCCCGGTGCCCCAGTGGCGGCTGCCGGGACATGCTAAGTCGGGAATCAGCGCCCGCCCGGGGCCACTCGCTGTGCGCGGACGCCGTGTCAGGCCGAGCCGGGGCCGTGGCCAGGGGAGCACAGCTCACCTCCAGCCCGGCCTCCCGCCTCCCAGCTGTGCCCCACGGCCGCTCCTGCAGGCCCCGCAGCCGCAGAACCCCGGCCCTGGCTCCTGCCTGGGCCTTCCAGAGCAAAGACAGGCACCCCGGGCATCGGGACCCCAAATAGTCAGGTCCTGCGGTAGGAGAGGCCCGGAGAGGCCGGCACAAAGGGGGCCCTGTCCTCAGGAGGGGCCGTGCTGCCCTGGAGGCCAGTCCCTCGCCCTTCGGGGAGGTGGAAGCCTGGCGCCAGCCTTTGTCCCTCCTGACAGCTCAGCAGGGCCGCCACATCCCACTGCCCCCGGCCTGGGCTCCCCAGACGAGGAGGGAAAACTCTGAGGCCCCCACACAGTGTGGCAACAGGGTGAGGCTCTAAACTTGGGGAGCTCCTGTACTAGGAGAAGTGCCGAGGGCCCCTGCCCTGACCTGCTAGGCCTGTGGGCACAGGACACGCCCGCCTCCCCTTGCCCCGGCCCAGCTGTGCCCGCGGTGTGTCCACTGGAGGGCGGCTGTGTCTGTAGCCACGGCCAGCCCGGCCACATGGGCGGCCCCACGTCCCTCTGCACGGGTCGGGCCCTCACCCCCCGCCTTCCATCCCCCCCAGGCTACCTGTGCGTGTACATGGAGAAGGATGAGCTGCTGGGGGCCACCCTCATCCTCGCCTGGGTCCCCAACTCACGCATCCAGAGGCAGGACGAGGAGGCGCTGCGGTACATCACCCCCGAGAGCTCCCCGGTGCGCAAGGTGCCCCGACCGCGGGGCCGGCGTGCGCAGAGCTCGGGGGACCCACGCCAGCCCTCCCCCACGGAGCTGAGGCCCGCCCCGGGCCCCGGGGACGAGGACATCCTGGCGGTGGCCCAGAGCGCCGGGGACGCCGGGCGCGCGAGCCCCTCCCTGCACGCCGGGGAGAAGCCGGCCCAGGGCCTGGGTGCGGACTGCGGCCTCCCGGCCTCTCAGCCGGCACACGGCGACCCGGGCGTCCCGTCCGCGGTCAGCCCCCAGGACGGGCCGGAGGAGGGGCGGGAGCCAAGGCCCGAGGCGGGCGAGGAGCACGGCTCCCTGGGGCTGTCGGCCGAGGGCGCCAGCAGGGACAGCTCCTTCGACTCGGACTCGGACGCCTTCTCGTCGCCCCTGTGCCTCTCGCCCATCAGCGCGGCGCTGGCGGAGAGCAGCGGCTCCGTGTTCCTGGAGGGCGAGAGCGGGTGAGTCCGGCCCCGTCCCAGCGCCGCGGCGGGGTCCCCGAGCCTGAGCCGGCCGAGTGGGCAGTGGAGGAGACGCAGCGGGCCCTGCCCCTCCTTCCTCTCCCCCGTGGGAGGCGCCCAGACCGAACCCCGCGAGCCACGTCCCCAGTGGGCCCGGGACTGCCCCTGTCCCACGGCCCCAGCACCCTCCAGGGGCCCCGGGAGGCCTCTGGCCCAAGGGGCAGGCCTGGTCCCCCGAGCCTCTGAGGCGGGCCCTGCTCCCAAGCCCGCAGGCCACCCAACCTCATCACCTTGCACCCTTAGCTGCAGGGCTGGGGCATGGCCCAGGGGCTTGCACCCTGCGTTCTGGGGGCCCCAGGGAGCCCCCGCAGCAGAGGCCGGAGGCGGGAACTGCAGGGGAGGTGGCGGCAGCTTCCATGGGGCCGTGAAGCCTCGCAGAGATGGGCGTGCTCGTGCCAGGCCGCAGGGGCCCCTCGGAGCCCTGGTCCTTGCTCCTTGTGGTGTCCGGTGGACAGCAGGGCTGGGAGTAAGCGCCGTCGGGGCCAGGCACGGCATGGAGCTGCTGAGCCCGGCGAGCGCCGTGGGGGCAGCTGAGATTGGCCGGGCGCCACGGGCCACCTGTTCTCGTGCTGCGCCCTCCGGTCAGCCCGCCGGGCAGCTCTGGTCCCTGTGTGCGGAGGGGACACAAGGTTCGGGGAGGGTCAGGAGCTTGCCCGCGACACTCGGCCAGTGCGCCAGCTGAGCCGGTCACCCCATCTGGGTCTGCACCAGGCCTCGGGCAGGGGAGGCCACATGGGCTGACCGAGGCCAGGGCCAGCGGGCAGCTGTGTCCGTGAGCTGGCCTCAGTGGGAAGGAATTGGAGATGAACTCTCCCCGGGGTGTCCTGCGACTCGGGGCTGGCCCTTAAGCCCAGGCTGAACTGACAACACTTGTCTCAAGGCGGCTGTGGCCGGTGGCGCCAGGGACCACCGGGCTCCTGGGCTGAGTGACCTCAAGTGCCAGCACGGGCTTGTCAGAGCTCCCCCTGCTGGTGCCACCCGCCAGCGCAGCCAGATCCGGGCTAGCACCCGGTCAGGGGGGAGGGCGGGTGCCCGGCACCCCCGGCAGGCAGAGGGCGTCCGTGGACAGGCGTCAGCACCCCGTCTTCACTCTGCCCTCCCCAGGCCAGGGCTGTGGCAGAAGCAGGGCCAGCACCTGCTCCCCCTGTCCAGCCGCCCTCTCGTGAAGGCGCCTGGTGTTCAGGACTTAGGAGACCTGGTTGGCGTGAGCCTGGGGCACCTCCGTTTCCTCGTTTGTAAGTTGGGGACGGCAATGTCCCCTTTGTGGGGTCCCCCTGAGAACCCCCTGGTGGCCCCTCTTCCTCTCCTCGGTTGGCTGCCCTCCAACCTGGGCCCGAGACCTCAGGGGACGGTTGATGAAGCCCAGCGCCCAGGCAGCTCCAGGCCTTCTTGCCCCAGGGGGTTCCGGCCCGGGGACGCTCGGCGAGGTCGGGGGCGTTTCTGTCACCGCTGAGGGTGGGTGTGAGTGGCGTCTGGTGGGTGGAGACTGAGAACCCTCCTAGAGGCCCCGATGGCCTCGGCCAGGCGCCGGCCTAAGCAGCGGAGCCGTTGAAATGCTCCTGACGCCCACACACTGTCCCCGCCGCCCCGCGCCCGGCTCGGGGGGCCCCGCCACCGCCGCCCGGCTCACAGCTCAGGCCTCTGCGCGTTCACGTCATGCTCCCACCACCGCCACCATCTGTGCCGAGACTTTTCCATCGCCCCAAAGACACCTGTCCCGTGAGCAGTGGCCCCCGCCGGCCCCGCCCCGCCGACCCGCTCCCTGTCCAAGGACGTCAACTGTGGGCGCCCGGTGTGTGGGCCCGGGGACCCCCTGGCGTCGCCTCCCAAGGCCCAGCTGCCCTCGGGGCTCAGCTCCTGTACGAGTGACTAGACCCCCTCACACACCCTGCCGGGACGTGGACTGGGTGCGCGTTTGCATCCACGTGGGCCTTTCCACCTCCCGAGTGCGCGCCCCACCTGCCGCTAGTTCGGGGTCACCCAAGGGCCTGGTGGCTGAGGATCCTGGTCTGTGGTCTCCCCAACCCGTGCGCCCCACACCGTGCAGCTCTAGTTCTCCCCCGTGAGCCCTGCACCCCGCAGCTCCAGGTCCCCCCCAGCCCCGCACCCCGCAGCTCCGGGGCTTCCGGGCCCCCTGGGAGCGAGGCAGGGCGGGCGTGGGCTTGGCAGGCGGCTGGTCCCTGAGTTGTTTGCCGGCGGCTTTGCTGCCAGGGCACCGCGGTCCCTGCCTCTCCCAGCCCCGGTCCCGGCACAGGCAGGGCCGCTCCCCGCCGTCCCGCCCCAGCGCAGGAGAGGCCAGAAGTCCTGCGTGCAGTTCTGGACGCCGCAGAACAGTTGTTCCCCGTCCAGCGGCCCAGGAGGGCATCCCGGGCAGCTTTGACAAGTCCAGCGGCCCAGCGCCCCGAGACACATTACCCCGGGTCACTGTAGGGGCTGGGCCTGGCCAGGGTGACCCTCTGGGGCTGAGACCGCTGCGTGGGCCTCGTGCCTCGGGCAGAGAGGGCCTCTGTGCCCAGGCGCCCCGGGCACCCTGGCTGGACCAGGAGCCTCGCAGGGTGGCCTGGCTCTGAGGCCCTGCCGCCCTGCAGCTGCCTGGGGGCCCCCGGTTCTGAATGTGCCCGGGAGCTGCCCCCCGGGGCGGAGGCAGGCTGGCTCACGGGGCCCCTCTAGCGGCAGACCCGGGGAACTGCACACGGAGGCTGCGCACCGGGCCTGGGAGGGGGAGGGGCCCGCCCCAGCCCCCAGCACCGGCGGCCCGGTGGTCCCAAGGGCTGGCTGGTCAGAACCTGACCGTGTCCATGTGTGCGCTGCCCTGGGGTCTGGCTAGGCCAGTTGCCATCTCAGCGCCCAGCCCTTGCCCCAGCACAGCCGCGGCCAGCAAGCCTTGACCGCGTGAGCCTTTAACGACCGCTGGGGAAGGTGGGCAGAGGCCCGCTGCTGACTGGCCGCCGCTGACTGGCCGCTGCTGACTGGCCGCTGCTGACTGGCCGCCGCTGACGGGCCGCCGCTGACGGGCCGCCGTGGACCCGCTTCCGCCCCAAGAGTCTGAGTTCACGTGCAGGGCTGGGGTCTGTGGCTCTTCATCCTGAGCCTTCCACAGTGCCAGGAATCGAGGCTGTGTTTGGGGTGGAGATGAGTGACGGCCAGGCCCGGCCCTGGGGATCCCGTCCCTGGTTTCTGTCCCAAAGGTACGGCCAGTGTGAAGGGCGAGCAGGCGAGGGGTCACGTGACAGGCCCCGCAGCAGGCCACCCTCGGGCCGAGCGCCGGCCACATGAGGGAAGAGCTGCCCCCACCCCGAACATCCCCTTGGAACGTGTCCTGAGGAATCATCTGAATCACCTGGGAAAGCCGTGCGCAGAGGCGTCCGCCAAGGGGGCCTTTTTGGCAGGGGGTGGGGCGGCAGAGAGCCCCCCGGAAACAGGAGGGGATGGAGTCTGTGGCGGGGTCGTATAGACGAGGGTGCACTCGGCTCTTCCCTGGTTTCCTGCTCCCTGGTGGGGAGGGCTGGGGTGGGCACTGGGGGGCTGGCAGGTAGAGGCAGCCCCCGGAAACACCCTAGCAGTCGGGAGGGGGCGCAGGGAGGGAGGGGTCCCAGCTGGGAGCAGCCAGGTGAGGTCCCAGGGCCTGGGGTCTTGCCGGGGCCATCCCAGTGCAGCTCCAGTGGTGGCGGTGGGGGTGGAGTGGGGGTGCTGGGGCTGCCGCCACCCAGGAGAGTAGGGGCTGGGGGCCGTGAGCGGAGCTGCTGAGACCCGAGTGGCCTGGTGGGACCAGGGTGGCCGGAAATTGTCGGAGGGGGTGGAGGGAGCTAGGTGGGGGCCTCCGCGCCCCTCCGTACTTCAGGAAGATCCCCAAGCCGGGTCCTGGGCCAGCGGGTGCCCAGACACCCCGGATGCCCCGGGAGCCCCCGCCTCGCCCTGCCTGGGCCCCCAGCGGAGCCTGGCAGTCGGGAAGCTGGCAGCTTCCAAAGATCTGTTGTTTGGGTTTGTTTGTGCTTCTGTAACCGGGAGCTGAGATTTATTTCTTTAAAACACCCCGTCTCCCGACGCCCTGCAATCTGTTCCTGTCCGCCAAGGCTTGTCTGGTCTCCTTGCAGCACCCGGCGGGCTCTGCAGAGGCTTCTCCCCCGTGCCCCCACCTGCGTCAGGGTGATGGGCACCAGCTGCTCCCTGCGCCTGGTGCCTGAGACCCAGGGTCAGTGGGAAGCTCCGGGGATGGGCAGCCGGCAGACCTGAGCCCCGTGGGCTGGTCTCAGCCTCAGGGCGACTGGATATGGCAGGACACTGCTCTGCCCGGGCCTCGGTGCCAGGCGGTGCCCGGGAGGCAGCCCCCTGCCTGCCCCAGCTCCGGGGTCCACCAGCAGGCTGCCGGCTCCAGGAGCTCAGAGGGGCTGCCGGGGAAGGCAGGCCTGGTCCCCACAGGCCCGGCCCTTGGCAGGGGCGCCTGTTTAGTGTTCTCTGGCCAGCCCTTTCCTTTGTCCTGATAGTTGGGGGCTTCTCGGAGGAGATCCGGAGAGCTCCTGATGTAGGGGTCCGGCAGCCAGGACCCCTCGCTGGCTGGAGCAGGGGTTCTGAAAGTCACCTGCCAGGTGTCCCCCACGGAGGCCAGATTGCCCCCACAGGCCTGGCCGGGCGGGTGGCCCTGAACTAATGCTGCTATTGCTGACCCAAAGGGCTGGCCTCGGCCTGTGAAAGCGGCCAAGATGGGGAGGACAACATGCCCTGACCTCCTAGAAAGCGAAGAGAGGCGGCTGGGGCCAGGGAGAGGCAGGGCGCCCGCTGCAGGAGGGCTCTGGCCTCTCCGCTTGCCAAGCTCCGCAGCCCCCCGGGGCCGTGATGCAACCCGAGCTGCGGTTGCAGGGTGTCTAGGGAGGCCCTGGGGGCGTGTGGCACCAGCAACCCGGGGCTGCCCTGGGGAGCAGGCGCTTGAGGCCGCCCACTCT